GCTATAGGAGGCTCTGAGAACTTTTACAGGTATCCTTTTTGTTCTCTTGGAAACTTTGTTAAGTTTTTAAGTTTTTTTTGCTTCTTCTATATCACTTTTTGATGTTTTGGTTTGATGCTTTGTGTAGTGCTTTTGAGTCGGAGTTGGCCGATGTTATCCCTATTGTTAAGACCTCTATCGGAGGAACACGAATTATTGGGCGTCTTTGTGCTGGTTCGCTTTCTCAATTAGCTGTTATATTTTCTTGCTTTAAATATTCTTGATTTTTTCCACTTTAGAGTTTAGTGTAATGACCTCTGGTTTTGTGTTTCTCGGTGTAGGAAACAAGAATGGGCTTCTTGTACCTCATACAACTACTGACCAAGGTAATTTTATACTTCTTTCACCAGATCGTTTCTCAAAACAATTAAGAATTGATCGTTGAATGTCTGATAACAGCATGACCAAGTTGTTGTATATAGAGATAGTAGAGTTTTTTGTGAATATCTTTTGTGCAACTTGTCTGAAGTATCTGCACTGCCCATCCCTGTTTCATTTGAGTTTATGGGTGGGCTTCTTAATAACTGAATACGCTTTTTGTGTCCTTCATTGCTGATGAATTTGAATTTTATGAGTCTCCTGTTCTTTTTTTTTTTTCTATCAGAAATCAATATTATAGTTTCAGGTGTGTAATTGGTTGCATCTTCTGAGTCCTGCTTATTTTTTTTTCCTTTGACAGAGCTTCAACACTTGAGGAACAGTCTACCTGATCAAGTTGTGGTCCAGCGAATTGATGAACGTCTGTCTGCTCTTGGAAATTGCATTGCCTGCAATGACCATGTCGCTCTTGCCCACACTGATCTTGATAAGGTAAAGATTAATGTCCCTTATAATTTTTCTAATGAAACCTTTTTAAAAACGTATCCTTTTTTCATGACTGGCAAGAAATAGTTAAAGGATAAGTAGGCGTTTATACAAAAGTTTGCAGGCATAATGTAATTAAGCACTTTGTAATTACCATGAATCTTATGTCAACAGATACTTGTTGCAAAAAGATACATATGCTTCCTTATTGTTACTGCATGTGTTTTGGATGATATTACTTTTTATTATATGTCTTGTGATGATGATGATGATGATGATGATGATAACAGAGTTGTACATATGGCGTTTGGGTTGATGTCTCTGGTTCTTGTGTTGGTTTTTTGCATTGACAGGAAACTGAGGAAATAATAACGGATGTTCTTGGCGTTGAAGTTTTCCGTCAGACAATTGCAGGCAACATTCTTGTGGGCAGTTACTGTGCCTTATCCAACAGAGGTGGAATGGTAAGAGAATACAAAACATAACGTCCTTTAAAAAACTGAAGAAATTTTAGCATTGGTCTCTCACTAGAATTTGAATTTTGAATGTCTTGTCTCAAATAGGTCCATCCTCGCACCTCAGTGGAAGACTTGGATGAACTCTCAACACTTCTTCAGGTCCCTCTTGTTGCAGGAACTGTAAACCGTGGGAGTGAAGTTATAGCTGCGGGTATGACCGTTAATGATTGGACCTCTTTCTGTGGTTCAGACACAACCGCGACCGAGCTCTCTGTTATAGACAGCATCTTCAAGCTAAGGGAAGCCCAACCCAGCTCTATCGTCGATGAGATGAGGAAGTCATTGATCGATACCTATGTTTAAATTTTGTTTGTTTGGATGACACACACAACAACATCCCCAATGTCAGAGATTTTCATACTCTACTGTGTGCAAGAATTAGCTGTTTTCTTATATTTTTGTGTGGTTTTAACAGTTTAAAAGTAATCTGTTGATGTCTCTTTGAATCTTTTTGAGTAAGTGATAAGAAAACTCTCGTTAAAACTAGATATATCTTCTAGTTTGGGGTCCACATTGGGTTCATATATTAGTGGAGAAGAAACCATTGGTGAATGGATAACGGTTTTGTTCGGTACATATCCGAATTCTGCATTTCTATGTGTAAGAAGATAAAGTTAACACCTTTTTCGCTTAGATAGTTTGAAGATTAAACTGAAAGTTAGGACCTTTCATTTCCAATCCCTAAACCCATTTCTCTACGATAAGAGAAACTGACATCAAAATCCAAAGTCGGGAAATTTTGGATTTGTTCTTCTTCTATGGCAACTGGTGAATTCTCTGTTTCTTTAGAATCTGATTTTTCCTTCTTCTCGTAAAGTTTATTTGGATGTACGCTATGTCTCACTTTGTATGTTCATTGAAGAAGACGAAGGTGATTTGTCAGCTCGTTACCAGAACACGTTGGATGCATTGTCATCTTTGATCACAAAACGCGGCCGTTTTGCCAGTAACAACCAATCTCACCGATTCCGTTTGCTGTTTCATTATCTCAAGGTTTCAAATCACTTAAGCTTTTTTTTTTGTGTCATGCCAAAAGTTACGAGGTTTTTGAAAGATTCATGAATCTCTTAAGGTTCTTGAGCTTGAAGATGCAGTCTCACAAATGAAAATTATTCATGTGGCTGGAACTAAAGGAAAGGTATAGACTTTAGAGATTCATCATGTCTCTAGTTCCTTGAGATTATACATTGAAGATTTCAACTTCTTATGATCTTTTTGAAGGGATCAACATGTACATTTTCGGAATCTATTCTTCGTTGTTACGGTCTTCGAACTGGTCTCTTCACATCTCCTCACTTAATCGATGTCCGAGAGAGATTCCGTCTTAACGGGTGAGCTTCTGAAAACATACACTCATATCACAACGATTTTATGGAAGAAAATGTTCAAAAACATAGTTGCTTGCTTCAGCATTGAGATAAGCCAGGAGAAATTTGTGGACTACTTTTGGTGTTGCTTTCATAAGCTCAAGGTGAGGAGTAAAAACAGAACATTCATATAGAGACCTTTTCGGCTTTTCTGTCTCTCTCATTTTGCTATATGGTTCCACATTAAAGCGCAGGAGAAAACCAGCAATGAAGTTCCAATGCCTACTTACTTCTGCTTCCTTGCATTGTTAGCTTTCAAGATTTTCGCAGCAGAACAGGTTTTGAAACCTCTTTTCTACTCAGTAAAATTAAACTCATGTGATTTAGAAATATATGTCATTGATGGTATGTGCAGGTTGATGTTGTTATACTAGAAGTTGGCTTAGGTGGGAGGTTTGATGCGACTAATGTGGTAGGAAAAATCGACTATTTTTATGTCAGATTAAGATTTGGTTTACCAGGTTTTGTCACTAACAAAGCATATGTTAATATAGATTCAGAAACCTGTCGTCTGTGGTATTTCTTCTCTAGGGTATGACCATATGGAGATTCTTGGTTAGTCTCTTTTGCGCCGTTTTTCCAAAAAATGGATCCAGTGTGTTTTTTAATCACTCGGGTTTACATATCTAGGATACACACTTGCTGAAATTGCTGCAGAGAAAGCCGGTATCTTCAAGGTGCAAACTAAAAAGCTTCTAAGTTATTCGAGTTTCAGTTTCCTTCTTAATTGTTCTCTCTGTTGCAGAGTGGAGTTCCGGCTTTTACAGTGCCTCAACCTGATGAAGCGATGCATGTACTTAATGAGAAAGCTTCAAAATTGGAGGTAAGGTTACACAAAACAACCAAAGCATTAGATTGATGGCTTAGATGATATTAAGTACTCGTTGTGAAGGTGAATCTGCAGGTGGTGGAACCATTGGACTCAAGCCAGAGACTCGGGCTTCAAGGCGAACATCAATATCTAAATGCTGGTCTTGCTGTTGCGTTGTGTTCTACATTTCTTAAAGAGATTGGTATTGATGACAAGAATGGTCTGAATCAAACAGTAAGTTGAATCAAAAATATTCTTGAGCTGTGAGTTTCTGATAACAAGTAACTGTGTTTTTAACTTGAAAATAGAACGGTTTACCTGCAAAATTCATCTCTGGATTGTCGAATGCTTATTTGATGGGACGAGCTATGGTAGTGCCTGATTTAGAACTCCCTGAAGAGATTGTGTATTACCTTGATGGAGCTCATAGTCCCGAGAGCATGGAAGCTTGCGCTATATGGTTTTCAAAACAGATCAAACAAAACCAAGAAAGAAACCAGAAAAGATCAGAGCAGGTAAAGATTTTTAAAATTTTGTCTTAAAATATTCTCAAAAACTTCTGAAAAAGTTTTGCTAATGTTGGTATATAATATGATGCAGATACTCTTGTTCAATTGTATGTCAGTTCGTGACCCGAGTTTGCTTCTTCCCCGATTAAGAAGCAAATGCATAGAGCAAGGTTTGTTTAACTGTTTATGTTATGATATAAAACTGAGCTTATAAGGATTTTACAAGAAACCTCATTTGAGATTTGTTTTCAAATTCAGGAGTTGATTTCAAGAGAGCCATTTTTGTACCAAACGTATCAGTGTACAACCAAGTGGGTTCTTCGTCAGAGGTTGCCACACGTGTCGAGTCGATGTCGTGGCAGTTCGGTCTTCAGAGGCTTTGGGAGAGTTTAGCTCGAGGTAAAGCAAAATCTAATTCAAGAAGTGATTCAAAAGGCAACGGAGAAGACAAGAGTTTTGTTTTCTCGTCACTTCCTTTGGCCGTTGACTGGCTCCGGGACAATGCTCGCCAAAGTAAACAAGTTCGTTTTCAGGTAAATACAGTGTAACTTTTTACGTATAACGTTGGTTTCAGGTGACAACAAAGTGGTCTAATTGGGAATTTGTTATATTTTGGGTGTTAGGTATTGGTAACTGGTTCATTACATTTGGTGGGTGATCTCTTGAGATTAATCAAGAAATGAATATGTTTCTGCCGTGTATTCTTGGCCAATCTCTGCCTGTAATGATCTGAACATGATTTAACAAAAGAAAAGAAAAGATATTTCGACATGATTTAACAAAAAACAAAACACGTGCTGAATAAAACTAGTAAGGGTCCAACAAAATCTTACAAAGTTGCAACGTTTTCAAATGTGTACCACCGACGACGCCGATTTTAAAGAGTGGTTGTAACTTGTAAGTTGTAACAATGGAAAAGGAATCTTACTAAAAAAAGAAACAACGAGAAAGAAATAAAAACAAGAGGTGAATCACGTGGCGGTAAAACGTTCGTTGCATCAAAAACGCTGTCGTTTTTAAGTGTTTAGTGTTGTTGCCTGTGGCGTTGGAACCAAGCGTACAAAAAGTCTTGAAGCAGGGAAAGAAAAAAATATACGAGAGAGAGGCACACAAAAAGAGAGACAAAACCAAAACTTTGAAGCAAAGCAAAGCAATTCAATCAAAAACGAATACGAAGATCGTTGAAAGTTTCGTTTTTTTCCCGAAATCTGAGCTTGGGTATTGTTCGGATAAGCTTCTCGGAGGTGAGATTGAGAAATTTTTGATAGGGGAGGAGATCGAAAGATTTGGATTTTTGGGCGGCAAAATGGTGATGCAGACGGAAGCTAGGGTTGGTGTGAGCTCAGGGCATGGCGTAGCTTCGTCTTCTCATCGTTTAACGCAGGACCAGAGATCACATATCGAATCGGCGTCTCAGCTCTTAGCTGGAGGACTCGCCGGTGCTTTTAGCAAGACCTGTACTGCTCCTCTCTCTCGTCTCACCATTCTCTTCCAGGTTTGTCATTTCATCGAGCGAGAATGAGAAAAATTCAAGATTTTTGTTTCATTAAAGTTAGACCAATTCAAAATTTTCAATTTCACTGTGTAATGGTATAATCAAAACATTTGGAGATCTGTAGAAATGAAAAGCTGAATTGAGCTCTGTGTCAAGATAGAGAGTATTATCCCAAATCTTCTTAGCTTCAGTTTTTTTTCTAACTTTGAATGTTTACAAAGGGAAATTTTGTGTTAAAGCTGAGTTTTTTTTGGACAGCTTCTTGATTATATACACTATGTTGTATTTAGGTGCAAGGTATGCACACAAATGCTGAAGCTTTAAGAAAGCCAAGCATATTACACGAGGCGTCACGGATATTGAATGAAGAAGGATTGAAGGCTTTTTGGAAAGGGAATCTAGTTACTATTGCTCACCGGCTTCCATATTCTTCTGTCAATTTCTACGCATATGAACACTACAAGAAGGTCTGAGAATCTATAACTAGCAGACTTTTTTTTTTTTTTTTTTTAATTCATAGTGTGGCATTACTCATCACTGAGCCTATTTCTGATTTTGAACTTTTTTACTCGCTTATTTACAGTTCATGTATATGGTTACTGGGATGGAAAATCACAAGGCGAGTATAAGCTCAAACCTTTTTGTACATTTTGTAGCCGGTGGTTTGGCTGGAATCACAGCTGCTTCTGCCACTTATCCGCTTGATCTTGTTAGAACTCGTCTTGCTGCTCAGGTTGGAGTTTTTGAACATAAGTATTTGATATCAACATTGTTACAAAACCTTGTTTACTTATTTTACTTGTTGAGATTTCATAATTGTTGCATTAGCTGGCTATTGACTTTATTCTTTGCATCAATGGCAGACAAAAGTAATCTACTACACGGGTATCTGGCATACTCTGCGAACTATTACTAGAGATGAAGGTATCTTGGGCCTCTACAAGGGACTAGGAACAACGCTTGTGGTATTTTCCACAGAAAGATGCATATATCATAAATGTTTGTATCCTTCCACCTTCCTTTCTATCCTGACTAAGGTTTTGTTTTTTGATACAGGGTGTTGGGCCTAGTATTGCCATTAGCTTTTCTGTGTATGAATCATTGAGATCTTATTGGAGGTCAACTAGGTAATAAGTCGGCTCGATATTGCAGTTTTGCAGTTCAACCATGTCACCTACCATTTGTAATTGCTCCTAAAATGATTTGTTTGTTTTCATTTTCTCAAGGCCCCATGATTCCCCTGTCATGGTCAGTCTAGCTTGTGGAAGTCTTTCAGGAATAGCATCTTCAACAGGTAAGTTATCTTAGCTATTCTTTGACCTTTTTCTCTCTTGTTTGCCATGAGACTCATTGTTTGACTGTAATTTGTCATTCTGTGCCTTGCTCATAAACACTGATTGACTTAGTATGAGCATCATTCAGTTTTGTATTCCTGATAAGCATCACATCAATAGTCTCAAACTCAAAATTCTCTGTACTATGTTTTCAATTCACAATAGCTGAACATGGTGCATTCTAAGTTCCACTATTGCGCAGAATGAAAACTCTGTTGCTCCTTCTAATGTGCATGCTTCTGTCTCTAGCAAACTGATATGATTACTATGATCTTCTCTAGCTGATTTTTCTCTTCAAGCATTTAAAAAATGGTGGTCATTCATTTAGTGTCTCATTTGCTTAATCAACCACAAAGATTGTTTACCTATATCTTTCTATTTGTGAATAGTATCTCTTTTGGCCTTATATGAGTTTCATGTCATGTCTTATTGTTCATGGCTGGTCTCATGCTACATTCATAGGCAGGAGAACCACTTCATACATTGATGCATTGGTCAAATTTCATCTAATGTGACAAAAACAAAACTGCAGCTACGTTTCCATTGGATCTGGTGAGAAGAAGGAAGCAGCTAGAAGGAATAGGCGGGCGAGCGGTAGTGTACAAGACAGGTTTGTTAGGCACATTAAAGCGTATAGTTCAGACGGAAGGAGCAAGAGGTTTGTACAGAGGAATTCTTCCAGAGTACTACAAAGTGGTACCTGGTGTTGGGATTTGCTTCATGACCTATGAGACACTCAAGCTTTACTTCAAAGATCTTTCCTCAAAGCTATAACGGTTTAAAATGTTGATAGATTTTTAGGTTTATTATTTTTGGTGAGAGGAAAAAAAAACTGTAAACCATACAGCGGAAAATGATAAATGTATACGAAATGTAGAATTATATGTAGTTGTTGGATGTAGCTTATACGAGATTAACATTTGTTACAATCCTTTAAAAATGGCTTATAGGAAATGTAGAATTATATGTATTGTTGGTTAATATATCAATTGATTTATCTACAAAAGTAACATTGTACAGTCCTAGTTAATGGCCCATATAAATGGTGGTGAAATTTTTGTAAATGATATAAAAGAGAATAGTAATGGGCTTGAGTATCCCACAAAGCCTTTTTAAGTTTTAACAAGGAGTTTCAGAATCCCACATCGGAAAGCTTAGATAGTTTGTAGTTGAAACTGTTATATAAATAGACTTCACCTCTGAGATGAAACAAATCACGCAGCCATGTGGTGAGCACAAAGCGAACTATTCTTTCGCCTTTTACTAAAGAATACCGTATGCTTTCCACGCCAAGTAGCATACGCCTATTTTTAGAGGGTTCTTTCTCAACAGTGAGACCCAACATTTACTCTAGTCTGAATATTTCTGTGTGCCAACTAAGAAGCTCAGTAAATTAAGTATATATTGGGTTGTCATAAATCATAATATGCAAAATTATTTTAAGATCTGCTTAAGTGGATTAAATTTATCAATGAAAACTTAGAGACTTATTTATTTAATTAGTACAGCTTTTTTTTTTCAGTAAGCGTATCATGGATCGAATAATCAAAATAAAATAAGTAAAAAAAAAAATAGGAGGGAAAATTAGAAATTGGCTTTTTCTTTTTTCTTTCTTAATTTTCTCATTTATGAATACACACACTTGGTGAATAATCAAAACCTAGCATTCGGCAAAAGAGAGGGAAAGAAGAGAAATGGAGAAAGGAAATGGATCTAAACCTTCCTTAAGCTCTTTGATGTCTTCTCTCTACGATTCGCTTAACGAGTTGACTCTGAGTAGTAAGTCGAATCGATCACTAAGCGTTGTTGTTTCTCCAATTTCATCCCACTCGCTGAATTTTTTGCTCTCTTTGCAGTTGATGGAGATGTCAGTATCACAGGGCTTTTAGCGATCGTTGCGTCATTTCAGTCGCTAGAGCTTCAGTTACAAGCTATGAAAGACTTATTGCGTCAAAGGAAAGAAGCTATATATTCCCAAGGGCAAGATCTCTTCGTTTTTCTATTTCGCTACTCTGTTTGATAATAAGATGACCATATCTGAGATTGAGACTCTACAAAGACCAATTTCGGTACGATTTATGCCTAAATTGTTAATTCGAATTAGGGTTTTATAGTCTGGGATTTTGGGTTTGGTTTTGCTAGAGACAGATTTCATGTTATGTTGCATTTGATTGTAGCTTCTTACTGAGGTTTACACGAACATGGCAATGAGGTTGCATCCAGAGTTGTTTTCAGAAGATACAAATCCAAGGTAAAAGTATACAATGCTCTTTTCAGATCCCATGTGATATGTTTTTGTTAAATACACTATCTATGTAGGCTAAGATTAGTGTGTTTTTGTTTAATTCTTGTTTTCCAGTTTGATCCAAGAAGATGCCAACAACGGAATTAGTCCTGAGGTGTGGCATTGTTATTGTTTTTCATGTATATTGATTTTGGTTTTTGATATGTTGTTTTCAATGTTCTTAGCTAGTTTTTGTGTGATTTCAGGCGGTGGTTGTTGTCCCAAGCCCAGCCGAGGAAATGCAACAGAATAACCAAATTCAAAATGAACCGGTAAAGTCATATATTCCACAGGCTTGAGTATTACCGAACACGCATGATTTGCTTACAAAGATCATTGATATGCAGGAACCGTTGAGGCGTGAAAGCAAGACAGACAGTTTGGTAACAGAAGATGGATAGTAAGGAGCTGGGTTTAGGCTTTTTTTCTTTCTAATTTGTATATCTAATTTCAGAGACTGTAGTTGCAATTATAAGCAGTGTCCAACTTCTTGGCCCTCTTCTCGTGTCAGAGCGTAATAGTCTGAAAGAGGTAACTATAATATAGCAATACTAATTTCTATATCACATGGAAAATGGATCATGCAAATCTAAAGTCAATCAAGAACAAGTGATTCTATATGGTATACTGGTCCAAGTTTCCAACAATCGGAGCAGAGAGAATATATGTTTGGCCATATCTTCTTAATTTTTTTTATCTGTGGCTATGCTTCCCTCTCCGATATTTTGAGAACTACCCTTATGTATTAACGATCTATCAAATGATATCCTTTTCTTGTTGTGTCGCGTTGATTCCACAACTTGCAAATGTATTTTTGTTTCGTTTTGTTTTTTCATATGAATCACAACTTTCAAGTTGCGAAGACAACATATAGAGTCAACCCTTTGTTATTGATGAATATTATTACATCACTATAAAGAATCTATCTTGACCTTATCGATCTGCTGGTCCTCTAGATACTTATATTCCCCAATCACATGTAAAGCTTATAACAACAGTTACATTGTAGTGATGTAATATTCATTAATAACGGTATATCGATCTGCTAATTCTTTTCAGACTTTCATCTAAAACGTTTTTTTTTATATATTAAAACGTCATTTTTATTGTTTGCTTTTCTTTTGTGATTTGTTATTCATAAGCTAAAAAGGAAACGTTTTTATAAGTTTCTTTTACTTTTCATCAAAGACCCTGATTTATTTATTCAAATCTTTCTGCCAATCACTTAAAATGTTTTTCAACTAATACTATAGGTTCTATAAAAGTTTGTCCCAATTCATATAAAATAAAATTATACAGTAAAAAGCTATTAATTTGAATTATAATTCTTAATTAACTCCAAATCTAAACTAATCTAAAAGGTTGCTTACAAGTCCTACAAACTATAATATGAAATTTTTATCAAAAGAAAACTATAATATAATAGAACGTTTTTTTTTGTTAAGATAAATGAATATATACTGATTCCTTTGGAAACAGTACACAATTACAGAACTATAATGTTCTAGAACGACGAAAGTTATTTACAAATACTTTGGAAAACATTTTGCATATTATTTGCCTCATAAATCTTCATTGACTTTGGTGTGGGCACGAAATTAGGTCACTCACGGGAATGGTTTCGAGGATTCTACTTCATTTGATACGGTCACCACTTTTGGTAGCGTACGTACCGCGTAACGATTTCGAAAAGTTTTCTCCTTTTTCATATATAGGAAAATATATATATAAAACTAGTTTGGCTTTACAAAAGACAGAAACCATATAGGCATATATCCTTATTTTTGAATCGATATGGGTATTATTTGAAGCCTGAAACTCCTTGCGAGTCTTTGATGAATTGATCTTATTTTAAAATTTAAGAATTGGTCTTTGGTTGAAAGTTGAAACCAAAACTGAATAAAGTTGATGTCACACATTTGGAGCCTAGTCGACTGAGAGAAAAGGCTATATATATATATTAATTAATTTTTAGTAAATTTGGTGATGAGAAAGAGAATATACACTACATAAAAGACCGATCACATGTAGTCAAAGTTTTCAACTATAAATACGCAGGGATGACAGTTATAAACTACATATAACATATCTTCACGTGTCTTCTCTTTTGTTTCATCACATGTTCTCTCCTTTCTTCACCTCTCTCTGCAAATTTAATCCTTTCTCTTTTCGGCACTCCTAGGCCCTTTTCTTTAATTCATCTTTCAAAACCAAAAAGTTTAATATATACATTTTCACCAACACAATTTTGGGATGGACAAGAACAAGAAGAAGAAGATTGTTTCCGCTTCATCTTTCGATCATATTTTTGGGCCAAGAGTCTCTTCTTCGTCTTCTTCATCGGCCACTGGATTGTTCAAATCCATCTTCCCACCACCCTCTGCGGTACGTCATCTCATCAATATTATTAGGGATAGGTGCATCATTGTAAACATATATGCATGTTACGCAAAAAAAAAATTATATGTTACATATACATGGAGCTCTAACTTAATATATAAGTAACAATTAAGTTGAACTACTCTCTAACTTTCTCTTGTTATGAACTAAAAGGATCAGTTGGGGAGGCAAGTGGACTTTGCAAGTCAAGGTGGACATGTGAAGTATCAATCTCCAAGTAATTAAACTTTCTTGAGTTATTTTTCGTTGAAAGATACGGTAGAAATAGGCTATACTCTTTTTAGCATAAAAAACTTAGTGTGTCTATTGAATGGTAATTTTACTAATACAAACTATCAATTCAAACGTAGTCTTTTCTGTCATATTGAAACTTATATACGTTTATGGGCTTAATTACGTAGATGAGAGAGGAGAAAGAAGCAACAAAAAGGAGAAAAAGAGTTACTATAATGAGGAAACAGAACCACCATGCCACTTGAGCTCATCACTTTACTATGGAGGCCAAGAGAAATATTCCTCCACAACGACTATCACCCATGATACTACTGTAAGTCATAGTCGCATCTATCATATACATAACACCTACATGACAAAACTTATATTCTCTACTTTCAAGATTTTGCTTTTCATCTTTATTTTTAACTTATGCAGTACAAAAAAGATGGAGAGGAAGGCGATTCCAAAAGCGCATCAAGAGGAAACTGGTGGGAAGGTAACGTTTTCATATCCAAAATTATTATGATTTATAATTTTTTTTTCTTTTTTAAATATCCAAAATTATTTATTATTATACCTTTGCACTGTTTATTACTTTTACTCTATGATTCTATTTGGTGCAGGGTCGCTTTATTACTAGTAATCTTGATTTAGGAGCACCTGTTAAGGTACTTATAAAAATAAATGAAAAAATGTTTCATAAAAACTACGTAATATCCAATGCTTTTCGTAATTTCTTTACATAATGGAAAAAACCTAAATTACATTCTTTGTGAACATTTTGCAGGAAAGTAAAGAGACAACATGCATGGTCTTATCTTTATATGAAATTTGAAGGGTCGCTAGCTATATAATAAAAAGAAAATAAACTATATAAAGGTCCTTAATTAATGACAAAATTAAAAAGGTTTAGTATATATTGTCTAAAAGAAGAGGGGCTTGTTCTTCACATGTTGATTCATTTTGTTTACGACAAATGCAACAACACTAAGAGAAGTCTCTTCCTGATGAAATTAATGTTTGGCTCCTTTTTCGTCAATTAATGTTTGTCTAATAGTGTTTGTAAGGAAAAAAATGATGTGTATAATAGAGTCTATGTACTTGGCTTACTTTAATGAATAATGGATATAAGAATATTTGCTATTAGTAAAAGTATATTTCGATCATCATCTTCCCGAAGAAACCGAGTTCATCGGTGAGGTCGTATAGGAGTTTACGAAGATGGTTACGGGCGGCTAGAGGTGTTTCCCGGTAATTTAAGAAAGGAGAAGATGAGTATAGTTAGGGTCTTAGGGAAGAAACAGTGAGGAGAATAAATAAGAAAAGACTGGATTTTTCAAAAATTGAGGTTTCTTTTTCGTTTTATTCTACTTTGTTGCGTTGATTTCATTGATAGACATCTGCCTAAGGTGGCTTTCTTAGAAGAAGAATGAAGCTCTACACAATTTACAAGTTAAGAAATGTCTCGAATTTTGGATTTGGGTGGGCTTTTTCATAATTTTGGCCCAAATCATATTTCGCTGAGAGAGAGAGACATCAGACATTTGATTTGACCATCGTTTCCGACTTTCTTCAGACCCAAAAAAACGTTTTTATGTAAAAGTAAAACCATTACTTCATTTGAAAATTTCCAATTTCAAGATTCTACTTTTTTCATCTATTGTTTAACATTTCCTCAAAAATATTTGGTAAATTCGAAATAGTAAAAAACTATTGCCGAAACCATAAAAAAGGAAACTAAACCATCAAACAGAAAAAGTAAAATGGAAATTCGAAAATCGCTCCTTCTATATATACGTGACTCTGCTCATCATAATTTCCATCAAGCAAACTCTCAATTTCCCTCTGTCTTTCAAAGTTCAATCTCTTAATTTTTCTCTGCGATCTTTCGAAAGTTTCCACAATGGAGATGTTACTTGGTGGACAAGCAACCAATGGAGCTCTTAAGTCAAAGACGAAGATAGTTTGTACTCTTGGACCGGCTTCAAGATCGGTGGTGATGATTGAGAAGCTTCTCAAGGCTGGTATGAACGTAGCCAGGTTCAATTTCTCCCATGGTTCTCACTCTTACCATCAAGAAACTCTCGATAATCTCAGAACCGCCATGGCCAACACTGGAATTCTCTGCGCCGTCATGCTCGACACAAAGGTACAAAACATCGTTTTTATTATATTTAATGTTGAATCAACGAGGGACTTGAATCTAATTCGGTTTAATTTTGTTGTTTACAGGGTCCTGAGATACGAACCGGGTTTCTCAAAGAAGGCAAACCGATACAGCTAAACCAAGGTCAAGAGATCACCATCTCAATTGATTACACAATAGAAGGAGATTCAAACACTATCTCCATGAGCTACAAGAAACTTGCAGAGGACCTCAAACCTGGCGATGTGATTCTTTGTTCAGACGGCACAATCTCACTAACTGTCTTGTCCTGTGACAAGTATCTCGGTCTTGTTCGTTGCCGTTGCGAGAACTCTGCAATTCTTGGAGAAAGAAAGAACGTTAATCTTCCTGGAATTGTAGTTGATCTCCCAACACTTACCGAGAAAGATAAAGAAGATATTATGCAATGGGGAGTTCCGAACAAAATCGACATAATCGCTCTTTCTTTTGTTCGTAAAGGATCTGACCTAATCGAAGTTAGGAAGTTACTTGGAGAGCACTCAAAGAACATCATGCTTATGTCAAAGGTGGAGAATCAAGAAGGGGTGATGAATTTTGATAAGATTCTGGAGAATTCTGATGCTTTCATGGTGGCTAGAGGAGATCTTGGGATGGAGATTCCAATCGAAAAGATGTTTCTTGCTCAGAAAACAATGATCAAGATGGCTAATGCTCTTGGGAAACCAGTTGTAACAGCTACACAGATGCTTGAATCCATGACAGTATCTCCTCGTCCGACTAGAGCTGAAGCTACCGACGTTGCAAACGCGGTTCTTGATGGCACAGATTGCGTTATGCTTAGTGGAGAAACCGCTGCTGGAGCTCACCCTGAGACAGCCGTGCTAACAATGTCAAGGATCTGTAAAGAAGCAGAGAATTTCATCGATTACGACATTCTCCACAAGAAAACCCTAGGAATCGTCTCGGTACCGTTATCCCCAATCGAGAGCTTAGCTGCTTCAGCTGTTTCTACCGCGCGGAGTGTTTTTGCGACAGCGATCGTCGTCCTCACTAAAGGCGGATACACCGCAGAGCTTGTGGCTAAATACCGTCCCAGCGTTCCAATTTTGTCAGTGATTGTGCCGGAGATTGCTCAAGGGAATGATATTGAATTGTCGTGCTCAGACTCGGTGGCTCATGTAGCGAGACGTGGTTTGATTTACCGTGGGATTATTCCGGTGGTGGCGACGGGATCTTCGGCTAGGGATTTAAACAAAGATGCAACGGAGGAGATGATTAGATTCGCTATCGGATTTGCAAAGACGAAGGGAATTTGTAAGACTGGAGATTCCATTGTGGCTTTGCACAAGATTGATGGTTCCTCTGTTGTGAAGATAGTGACCGTCGAGTAATCCAGTTTTAATAAAGTCATGAAATTTTAATTTCGGTTTAAACATTGTTTTTGGTCGCATGATAATAACGTTTAAACAGAATTTGTTTTACTTATTAAAATTATTTGTTCTTTAAAAGGTATATCACAAGTTGTGGGATACTAAAGCTTTGGTAATAGTTTTGTTGCATCTCTTATAAATTACTAAACTTGTTCCTCAAAATTTGTGGTTTTGTCAAGGAAGGTGTGGAGATAACGATTGAAGAACAAATAAGGTTTCGGGATCAAAGCTTTAAGATTTCACTAAGTTTGTGAGAGAAAGTGGTGGCGAGTCTTACTGATCGAGTCGAATCCTTCACTTAACGTTCCTGGCGTTTAGCTTAAAAGAAGCTCCTCCTTTGACTCTTGTTTAATCTAATAACATATGAGATTGTGTATCGATCAATCAACAAATACATTATATAACCAATAAAAAAAAACGAATTGTGCTTGGTTCTTAACCCTTGAGACAGGACAACAACAACATAAAGAACGTGTTGTGTGATACAGACAAAAGAAAATGTAAATCCAAATTCTTTAACATAACATTCAACCCCGGAGATAATTGGCCAATGCTTTCTTTGCACCAAACCCACAACGTTCTCTAATGTTTCTCCCAGAGAGAAACGGTGCTCTTTCTCCTCCTCTTCCTCCGTTGATGGGGCTTATCAACGGCATTGGTGAATAACTTGGAGTCGATGCAGAAAAAGATGGAGTTCTGTACGGAGTTGACGTGCCTGAGAATGACACAGAGAACAACGATGGAGCAGAAAGTTTCTTTCTTAGAGAGCCTGAGCCACCATCAGCTGCTTCTTTAGACAACAATCTCAACTTGTCTGAACAAGAATCATCATCACCATCATCTTTGCTGATGTCATCCATGAACAACACTTCCTCTATGCGTACACCAATGCTATACGCTAAACTCTCTAATACCCTTGAGTAGCTCTCAAGTATAGACTTTCCTACATCCTGCAAAAAGCTTTAAGCTTTAGATTTGATTTTGTTATGTTTAAGTGTGCGATGTGAAAAGTCAATGAATCAAACCTTGTTGTATTGGATCTTGCTTGTATCTAAAGCTGTTTGTCTAAGTCCCGGGAAACGTTGCTTGAGACGGATCAACAAGCTTTCTGCTCTTTCCGCAAATATTTCCCTTTTGTCACCATCGGTTTGATGCATCATCATCTCCTTCACTATCATCCCCCATCTTGTACTTGTGGACCGATACAGAGAAATCAGATGCCTCGAGTGAGCTCTTCGCCTCCAAACGTACATTGATGCTTCTACTCGGTTCGCCATTTCTACAAGGGCAAGCTCAGATGAAAGATCTATTGATTCCAGCAAGTGATCTGCTGAGAAGTTATCTGATGTGATGTTTCTATATAGAAAATCGCCAAGGCATGATCTCCCGTTCTGCGAATAAAAACAGTTCAGCTAGAAGAAACTGTGATCAAACAAGTTGATAATTTGGCTCTGAGATAAAAAAAAATTTACCTTTGGAAGAGCTTCAAGGTATGATTGTGGAACCTCCATTTCAGCTAAAGCAATGCTGTTGATTGACATACAAGCTTTCAAGATTTGGTTAGTAAATTCGCGAGTATGATCCAGTTTCTTCCTAGATTGCTCAGTAAGTCCATCGGATGGCACACGCGGTAGCGGAAGCCACCATTTGTCTCCGTCTTCACGGAAAGAGTTAGACCTTGCAGATTCCGCAGCTACGATTCCTTGATCAACGTACCAGAACTCTGTTTCTCCAAAACTGTCCAATATTTCCTAAATATGTCAAAAACAGAACTCTATTAAGATCTCACACTAGCCATATGAAAACCCCTCATGAGAACAACAAGGAGGAAGATCAGGTTCTTACAATAAGCATATGGTCTAGCTTCCTAAGAGCAGGAAGACAAGTAAAGAGATCTGATCTTGGTCTGCAATTCATCACCTTAAATCCACCAAATCATCAATGAAACAGAACACAATTACTCCAATCAAATCCAACATCCATGACTAAATGCTTAAGCTTGAAAATGAAATTACCTCAATCTTGTTTCCATTGGGGAAATTCTGAAAGGAAGGTACCAATTCAACAATGTGATCACTAACAGAAAGAAGAACTTCGATTTCTCTTCTCCACATTGATTTTTTCTCACTAGGGATTGGCTCTAACCTCCATTGTTGTCCCAATATTGCAGCTTTCATCATATTGAAATCAAAACTTAGACTCATAATATCACATAAACATCACAAAATAAAGTATGAAACATTTTAATAAAACTACCATAGAGATTGGTAATGGCGTTTGAAATAGCCAAAGCAGGACAAACTCCTTCACCAGAACCAGACATATCTTCACCAAGCAACAACTTCGCCATTCTCTCTTTCAACAACTCAATCTCTACAAAAAATCAAACTTTAAGTCGTTTTCGAAAGAGATTGATTATTAGCTAATTTCACGATTTTCACAAACCTGGAGTCTCTGTTCCAACTCTCTTAAACCCGAAATCATCGATCTTTGTCGGAGTTTTCTTCTTCATTTTACCAGAACTCTTCCTCCATGAACCTTGCCCTAACGGCCATCCAAGGATCTGCGATTTCGTCGGAGGAGATGACGGAGATGAAACAGATCTCTCAGCCACTGAAGACCTCCCGGAGCTCGATCCAGCACCGCAACTTGAGCTGCTAAGACTTGAATCAGTCGTTGACTCAGTCACTGAGTCAATCAAACCAATGATACGTTTACTCTCACCAAATCTTCTCGACCCTTCAAACCCAATACAGCTATTATTCTCCATTTTCGCTAACAAAAACAAAAAAAAAGATTGATTTTTTTTAGATACCCAGAAACAAGGAAGCAGAGATCATAGAGAAGAAGAAGAATAGTAGTTATTGTGGTCCATGAATTCGAGAAAAATTCTGATTGTTTTAATTGTTTGTGTTGTTGTTTTTTGTTCTGTCTTAAAAATTTTGAATTTTGCAAAAAAGGGACACATGCAAATCTTAACGTCTCTCTTCGATTTTTATAATTTTATTATAATAAAAAAATAGTGAGTCATCAAAGTAGCCGTTATAATCTGCCACGTCAGATTTCGGACAAAATGTCTTCCGTGATCTTCCCGCAGTGTCAAGTCCAAAAAACTTGAAACCAAAAGTTAGATTTCTCCATTTCGTTCGTTTGGTGAGATATTAATTATTATTTTTAGAAATGTTTCCGTTGAACTTCTTCTCATAGATAAATTTTTACTGAATAAAGTTTGTTATCGTGATAGTGATTTACATATTTCAAGAGGGAAATTCGGTGGTTTTTGAGAATAAATATTATTATTTGACCGTATGTTAACTAATTTACAAACTACATTGTACTTAAGAGATGCGTCTACAGATGCATGTATTCCATTTTATATAAATTATTGTCACGTTCGTTTGGCAAATTTCAGCCACATTGATTATCACAATTAAGATATTGTGTTCAATTTATAGTTGCGAACAGTTTGAGTACAGTGATAAAATCGGGTTTATTTTGTAGTTGTTAGTGATAACGATTCACCAATATAAAATTTATAATGTTAATCTCTTACAAATTAAATTTGTTAGCCGTTTTTGCTTAAAATGTCCGTTGAACAACCAATTATAAAAACAAACAAGGTTTAGTTGATAACAATTACAAAATAAAGAATATATCGCATATTACTAGCTAGTCATTTTATTAATCGTTGTGAATGTCGCCAAAATAAAGAACAACATATATCGCATGTAACAACAAAACAAACCGATTGGTCTTTGTTTTCTGGATCATCCAAATACGAATCTTTCCAAATGGCAAAGGTTAGAGATCCATTAGATTATTAAATTTTGTATAGCGAGGTAGTTTTATTAGCCGTATATTTTGTACACACAAAACAAAAATATATCATAGTTTTACGTAATTTATTAAAATTCATGGCTATTTATAAAGTAGTACTTTTTCAACCATATAAATTGTTATATTATTGCAAGAAATTGGAATATAAATATCTTTTTTAGATAAGTAAGTATATATGTTTAGTCAAACTTCCTTCGTTCAGATATTTATATTGGTCAGCAAACAAAACTTCTAAACCTACAAAATAAGGCTTAAAAAATCTTCTAATAATTTTACAAAGTCAAAGTCACGGTTAAAAGATTGATTTACTTCCAAAACTGTAAATTAATATATAAGATAGACTCCGAATTGTTTTTCTTACCAAATATATGAATTGTATTATTGCAGGATATTTGAATATGAAATTATGACTTGTTATATATATATGTTTAGTCATACTTCTTTAACAATGACAATTTTGGTCAAACTTCCTTCATCTAGTGTATTCATTCATATACTTTGAAGAAAAAAAATATATATATTTTCATAATTTATAATATATACTCCTAGGTATGTTCTCGCCAATATATATAATTCATAATTTATGGAGTCAACGTTACCCAAATTAGTCACCTTCCCTCTCCGATAATAAATAGCAAGCTTATAAGTTCTATCTAGCCACTCCAGCCTAATTTACATAAGCATGGCTTCCATTACCAATTCTCATTTTATATTGTTGTTTCTAATCTCTTCTACCTTTATTGTTTTTACGTTAGCACTAGATTTTTCAGATGTTGCAGCAGAAGCACCAGACGGCTTCTTACCTCTAGCCAAAAAGCATGTTGTAATTCGCAATACCGTAGAGAATGGAGAAGAGTTGAATATACATTGCAAATCTAGTGAGGATGATTTGGGGCATATCCATCTTAAACATGGACATACTTGGGATTTCAGATTTCATGTTAACATGTCAAAATCTACAAAATTTCGTTGTCATTTTTGGTGGTATGCAGGCGGTACCGATTATTTTAATTACTGGTTTGATATATTTAAAGTATCCAGAGACGATAAACCATCGGGAAGGTATCCAGTTTGCAAAGAATGCATTTGGGAGTTAAACCAATACGGCTCTGAAGACATTATTTGTCGTATAAATCGTGATGGATCAGATCCTTGGTGTTTCACAATGGACGATAAACCTTAAGAAGAAGAAAAACACATCATTGTATAACATATCCTATTTAATAAATGTTGTCACTAAAATTGATTGAATAAAACAATATCATTGATACTATTCGAGCTCTCTTTAATTGAAGTGTTTATATCCACAAAAGCAAATTAAGTTGTGTTTATTTTGATGAATCCTTTGCAAACTGTATAATTAAGTCGTGTTTATTTTGATGAATCCTTTACCTATATCAATCACGCCGTGTTTCTTCTTTCTTGCTCTCTCATATATCTTTCTGTAGTTCTGTAGTTGTTAGTGATAACGATTCACCAATAAATTTATAATGTTAATCTCTAGCAAATTAAAATGTGTTAACCGTTTTTGTTTAAAATTGTCGTTGAACCACCAATTATAAAACCAATAAAGATTTAGTTGATAACAATTACAAAATAAACAACAACATATATCGCATATTACTAGATAGTCATTTTATTAACCGTTGTCAATGTCGCCAGAAACTAAAAAGCGAATAAAACTATCAAATTTATATTTTTAGATCATTTAAAATTAGTGCAATCTACACTGTCATATAGAAGTGAGATATAAGTCATGTACCAACAAAACAAACCGATTGGTCTTTGTTTTCTGGATCCTCCGTGCGAATCTTTCCAAATGGCAAAGGTTAGAGATCCATTAGATTATTTAATGTTGTATGGCGAGGTAGTCTCATTAGGCATATATTTTGCTAACACACAAAAAAAATCATAGTTATGTACGTAATTTCTAAAATTCATGGCTGTAAATGGTTGTATTATTGCAAGAAATTGGAATATAAATATCTTTTTAGATAAGTATATATGCTTAGTCAAATTAAACTTCCTTCGTTTATAGCAAACAAATTTTCTAAAACTACAAAATAAGGCTTAAAAAGACTTAATAATTTTTCAAAGTCAAAGTCACGGTCAAAAGATTAATTTACTTCCAAAACTGTAAATTAATATATAAGGTATACTCCGAATCGTATTTCTTACCAAATACATGCATTCAACGTTACATGAATCTTTTTTCAGTCACCTCCCTCCCAAATATATTTACTTACACTTTGTTACAACTATAAATAGGGAACTTATTAGTTCTATCTAACCCACTTAATTTACACAACCATGTCTTTCATTAATAAGCCTCATGTTATATTGTTGTTCATTATCTCTTCTACTTTTATTCTTTTTGTACCTGCGTTAGATTTGTCAAATGTTCCAGCGGAATCACCAACTTCGGACGAGGACGGCTTCTTACCTCTAGCTGGAAAACATGTTGTAATCTGCAACAAAGTTAAAAACAGAGAAACTTTGAATGTACATTGCAGATCTAGTGAAGATGATTTGGGATTAATCCATATTCCTTGGAATCATACTTGGGGTTTTAGATTTCATGTTAACATTTGGAAATCTACAAAATTTCATTGTCATTTTACATGGCTCGGAGGAGGATCTCATTATTTTACTATATTTAAAGTATCGAGAGACGATAGTATAATTGGATATAATGTTTGTAAAGAATGTATTTGGGAGGTGGGAAGAAACGATGAAAACCCTATTTGTCGTGTTTCTCGCGATAAATCAATACTTCCCCACTGTTTCCAATGGGAAGAGGGTCCTTAAGAAAAAAAAACAACTTATTGTTATCACTGCATCTTATCTAATAAATGTTACTATCAAAATTGATTGAATAAAATATTATCATTTATAATGTTTGAATGTTTAGAAGTTTTCTTTACTTGAAGCTTTTATATATCCACATAAGCAAACTAAGGTTTTTTATATAATTTATATTCCTTTTCTCTTTTGTTTATAAAACACAGACATCTTTTTGCAACTAAGCACCTAACTCCAATATTTTCAATTTATTGGAGATGATTCACAGCTACCATAAGACAAACACTATATAAGAACTTGAAGAGCCAATGAAGGAATAAATCCAAATTCTCAAAAATATGATAGGAAACAACCAAATCTGAAGCCTATACAAAAACAAACTAACAGTAACAACTACTTGATCATGACTCTACTTACCTAAAGAGCTTCAAGTGAAGAAAAAATTATATAGAGTTTAGATATCAAATAGGTTATGTTATTCTCTTTCTGTATAGTTCAGAATTGTATGCTATGTAGACTTGCTTCTCCAGATGTTTTGGACTACCACATTTTACAACTTCATATCACATCAGGCGTTCCCATATCAAACGAATTACATCTACATTGGCCACTTCTTCAGATCAACTCACATTGACAACATAAAAATCATGTAAACACAATTTATGACAAAATGCAAGCAAGAACAATAAAGCAGAGCATGAGCTAAATTGGATTCAATCTATGTATGAATAAGTTACTCAAGTCATCAAGATTGCATGCACTTCATTTCTGGTCTGTCATGCCATAGTCATAGATTAAACACAAACAAAATACCAGACTATATATATTCAATGTAGAGGTATTTATTTAAATATATTGTCAATTGGTGACTAAACTTATTTCGAATATTAAAAAAAAAACTTATTTCAAATATACTTACATGTTAGACTCTAGATTAGCTAAACAACCTTGAAATTTTATTACATATTTAGGTCAATAACAACGCAGAAATATTCTAATTGAAGAGTATTCATATGTTTCAACGCTTTGACTAAAGTAGTTTTTACATTTTATATAATCATGATATTTTATTAATTAGCACACTGAGAGATAAATGATTGAACTTACTTGCGTGCCATTTCATTCAATGAATAAAGATAGTAGTATACTCAAATGTTTTAAACTAATAACATGTTATTATTAAAAAAACCTCATGCGTAATTTTCACCCAAACATGTTAATTTTTATTTTTTTTTGGCAAAAGCCAAACATGTTAAATTAATATACGTATTTTATAGTAAATAAAAAAAACTCAGATAAAATTTATTTCATGGCTTTTTAAGTAAAATACTCTTTTAATTTTATAAGTCATTGACTCATTGTATTATTGCAGGATATTTGAATATAAAATTTGTGACTTGTTATATGTATGTTTAGTCAAACTTCTTTAACAATGACAATTTTGGTCAAACTTCCTTCATTTAGATGTATTCATTCATATATTAAAAATACTACTATATCTTGATTGGTTGTAAAAGAATAGATATTATCATAATTTATAATATATACTCCTAGTTATATTCTTACGAATATATATAATTCATAATTAAAATAGTAACATAGACTAAATTCAATGTAGTCAACGTTACCCAAATTAGTCACCTTCTTTCTCCTGTAATAAATAGCGAGCTTTAAGTTCTACCTAGCCACTCGAGCCAATTTACATAACCATGGCTTCCATTACTAATTCTCATTTTATATTGTTGTTTCTTATCTTTTCTACTTTTATTGTTTTTACGTTAGCATTAGATTTATCAGATGTTGCAGCAGAAGCACCGGATGGCTTGTTACCTCTATCCAAAAAACACGTTGTAATTCGCAACACTGTAACAAACGGAGAAGTTTTGAATATACATTGCAAATCCAGTGAGGATGATTTGGGGCATATTCGTCTTAAACATGGGCATACTTGGGGTTTCAGATTTCGTGTTAACTTTTCATTATCTACGTATTTTCGTTGTCATTTTTGGTGGAATTCAGTTCCAGGCGGTCCTAACTATTATAGTTATTGGTTTGATATATTTACTGTATACAGAGACGATAACCCATTAGGAAAGTATCCAGTTTGCGAAGAATGCATTTGGGAGATGTACGAATTACGTCAAAACTATATTTGTCGTATAAATCGTGATAAATCAGGGTGGTGTTTCCGCATGGACATTGAACCTTAAGATGAAGAAAAACACATTATTGTTCAATATATCTTATCTAATAAATACAATCATTTAAATTGATTGAATAAAATAATATCATTGAGACTATTCAAGCTCTCTTTACTTGAAGTGTTTATATCCACAAAAGCAAATTATGCCGTTTTTTTTTGTGCAAATAGCAAATTATGTCGTTTTTTTAATGATTCCATTGCAAACTAAGTTTCTAAATCTATGTACCAACTTTTTGGAATGTCGTTGTCCCAAGTTATCGGATCTGATTTACAGCTACCATATGACAAACAATGTCTAAGAAACGTGATGAGCGAATGAATGCATCCAAATTCTCAAAAAAAAAGGACTAGGAAACAACCACATCTAATGTCCTGCACTAAAAAACGATAGTTATTTATAAAAAAAAAGCTATATCTTATCTAATAAATGTAACCATCATATCTAACTCGCTATATGCAATCTGCTGTCAAAATAAAATAAAATAATAGTATATGCAATCTAAGCTTCTAATTGGTCTCCTTACCCCAAAATTTGACATAAGTCTACAATCTAAGCTTCTAATTGGTGTTAGCCTCAAGTCGCTAGTACCAGAAGTTTCCTTCTGATCAATTCAGTTGAACAACCATCAAACGAGAACTTAGACTTTTGTAATTAAGCACTTAACGATTTTGACAACGCGAATACTGGAAGTTCAAATATAAATTAATTAGTACGTAAGTAGTTCAGAATTGTATGCTTTGTAGACTTAATGCCGGATTTGTATAGAACATACTTCGAGTTCAACATTGGACCATCCTTGAAAAGTCTCAGCTTTGTACCCTGATGAGATCTTTCAGACTTCCACCAACGCATCTCACTATCTCATTCGTGAATTAGGATTTTAAGGCTCCTTTAAGCAAAACATAGTTTAAATGCTTGATTAGCTTGTTGCCAAATGTATATACTAAAAGAAAATATAGTTTTGTAATAAATAAAAGTTTCATTAATTGTTGAGCTGCAGAATAGTGAAATCTTATTTATCTTTCTTTTTTTTTTGAACCGTAGAAAAATTGAATATCTAAAAGCATACAAATTGTGATAAGCTAGCATCCAACCCTAGCAGATGTTATTTCTTAACGTTATTTTTTCTAAATGTATTGTTGCTAGTTTTTCTATAAGACTTAAAACATCATGTTTTTCACACACTTATAATCCTAACTAATCAAAAACTTCAAGAAAGTTTAATTCATTGAACCAATAAGTATTACAATAAAAAAAAAAACAATTCTATAATTAGACGAAGAGGAACCAAATTAGTAAACGAATAATAGCTTAAGTAAATCGAATTCCAGTAGCTAGCCATACAACTTTTCGATAATAACGTGAATAATAGATAATAATTTGACAACATTTGTGTTATAGAAAGTGAAAGGAGACTTTTGTATCGGTCCATTATTTTTCCATTCATCTTCGCATTTGATCATATAGTGTGAACCATCCACTGCAGAAAACAGAGCTATGGATTCGAGCCCTTCTTCTTGTGCTTCTTCATAAGCTTTTTGGAACAAAGCACACGCTAGTTTGTAGTACTTTCCGCAAAAATAGAGTCGTCGAGTCCCAATCGGACCACTAAACTTTTGACGAACTTTGTTGATTTGTTTGGTTGCGTTGGTCAATTGGATTTGGCATTGAGAAATCTGATAATAAATTCCAATAAGAAATCAATAATATTTTTTTTTTTATGGAGCGAAGGAATAAAACAGATTCCCTCATATCTCAATTTCTATATTTATGACTTGTTCCCTTCATAACTGGTATTTTAGTTTTAGTGTTTTTGTTCTATACAGTTAGAACTTTTTATATATATATTTATCAAATCTAAACAGAGAATGGTTATTGTGAATAGTTTTCCAACTCTGTTTTCTACCCATACACTTTGCGTATATGAACAGTACTACACAATAATTAAAGGAATTACAAACTTACTGCAATTACAAGCACATCATGGAGGTCGCGTGCGGCTAAGATACGTATGTCCGTTCCAATGTATTTCAAGCAGAAGTTCACGTCATCCGTATCCTTGCAAAATGCGTACATGTCTTTGATAGGCATCGCATCTACGACTGTAAACGCAAAGAACACGAATACTAACAACGACAAAGAAAAAGTTAAGTGTTTGATGAGCATTGTGGCCATACTTAGAAGATACGATTGTGTTTGGTATTTTTTTTTTGTATGTTTCAACCATTTTATTTATAATGATATTGAAAGCTAAAAACGTTACTTCATCAATTTGGGAAAGTTATGGCTTTAAATGGAATAATATCAAACTAGTAATAAACTAATAATTAAGAAGAGTAAAAATCTTAATGGCAGTAAATATTTGGAATAATGGACTACCACAACTTGGAAATGCATTTGAATTTCATAAAAGACTTGGCCGACAACATGGTGAGGTTGCCCTATAATTCAGCTAGTTGTGTTTTTGTGTATAAAAGACGAGATCATAGAATTTGAATTCTTCTACTCTATTTCATCAGATCTTAGCATAAAGGGCTTTTTTTGTCGAAGCCCAAATCGCATAGGAAACCCAGGGAGAATTCGCTCTCTCCCAAAAAGAAAATTTCGATATTTAAAGTTCTTAATGTTAAAGCATTAAGAAGATATCTTTGATCAAAAATATCAATCGTTAAATCTGATTTGGATGATAAGAAATAGGATTAACTAAACCCTAGATTTAGTGGGAAATCCACTATAGTGTGAGCACTATTACCTACGATTTTCTGTTCTCATTTGCGTTTTTTTTTTTCTGGTCAACCATTGGGTTTCTTTTTCTAATTGTCGGGCAGGAATTACGGATTTTAATAAAACTAAGGACTAAATAAATAATTAAAAAAAAGACAGAAATAATATTATAAAATGTCTTTTGAGCAGTCCTCAATGTAACCTTAATAAAAAGAGAACCCTCTCTGCAACATTTATTAAATACTCAAAACCTATCTCTCTCTCTCTCTGTCTTTACTCATTGTCGTTATGGTCGCGCCGCCTATATCCGCCGCGTCCTTAGAGCTCCCTCCTCCGTTCCCCGCCGTCTTCGAACAACCAATGGATAAACTCAGCTTCCCGAATGAGTTCCCTTACGAGTTTGCCTCAACGTTTTCAACTTCTCCAGAAGACTCAACGGAGACGGAAGATGAAACAAGCGACGACGAAGATGACTTTTTAGCCGGGTTAACTCGCAGACTCGCTCTCTCGACTCAGCGCCTCTCTTCTCCTTCCTTCGTCACCGACAAGTCTCAGGTTTGTTAAAAGCTTCTCTCTTTTTTTGAATGTTATCTCTTAATGTAAACTAAACACACAGTTTCTTGCTCTGTTTCTTCAGATGAAACCTAAAGTCACTGAGTCAACTCAGAGTGGACTCGGAAGTCCTAATGGACCGTTTTCTCAAGCTCCTTCACCGCCGGCATCTCCGTTTCGCGAAGAAGACTCTTTGAAAGTGTTATCTGCTGCAGCTGGAGAAGTCGCCAAGATCAAAAAGGCTAACTTTGATGCTAAACCCATCAGCCGCCCAAACCCTAACCCTAGTTCCTTAATCCCTTTTCCTCAAAACGCAGCGTTTTATAACTACTACTGGCTATGGCAGCCGCATTATCATCAATCTCAGATAGGAAGAGTCCCAAATGCTTGGCTTGTGTCTCCTTCTCCCGTTAGAGGCGTATACACCGCTCCAACCGCCGTCAAATCGCCGTCGACTGGTACCGGCGTTTTCCTTCCCCGGAAATACTCAATCCCTTCTGATTCCCGGAAGAATTCAGGTATTTTTACTCAATTTTCCTTTGATTCAACATCTTGGGTTTCTGAAATTTGTTAACTTTCGCTCAATTTTGTTACTTAAGAATCTAAATTGAAAAAAAAAATGGATTTTTTTCAGGAGGTGGATGTGTTAAGGTTGTTAACCAACAAAAACCTAAAATTGAAGAGTTATCGGGTCGGTGTAAACCAAATTCGAAAGCTGGTCTCTCTACAGGACGCATCAAAACGGATTACGGTACTAATTCAAACATCCTCTGTTTTTCATTTCAGTTCTAGAAAAGAATTAACATTTGATTGAATCTATTCGTTTGTTTTGTAGTAGCTGGTGGTGGTTGTTTGAAGCAAGAAAGACCTCTTCCACAAGAATGGATGTACTGAGAGTTTGAATTAGGTTCTGTAGGATTCAGGACTTGGAAGAAAAAAATTACAGAAATGGTCGTAGTTAGTGGGTTGACTTTATAGTGTTGATTGTGATGGTTACTGGTTATAGCAAAGAATAATTTTGTGGGGTTAAGTTGGACTGGGATTTATTTATATTTACTTAGGAGGATAGCAAAATCAGTTTCTAATAAGCATATTTTTGGCCTTGGGAGAGTTTTTCAGATAACTCTTCTTTGGCATAAGGTTAGTGCAAACAACGTAGAGATGTGTTGAGAGTACTTTAGGGTGTTTTCTGCAATTTTGGAATCTATGGGGTTGCAATAAAAAAAAAAATTTGGTTTGTTTGGTTAAAAGAATCAAAGTTGTAGTGAATTATAGTTGTAATAGAAGAGATTGTATCTGAAGTTGTTTCCTTAATTTTCTTATCAATATTTAAGTTTTGTGGCATTTGTGTTTTTTTTCTTACGTTTAAAAACCTTAACATCTGATACATCTTTTTTTTTTTTAAAGAGTTGTGTTTCAGAAGGTTTTGCTTTGCGAAATGTCATGAAAAGGATTTGTTTAAAAGAAACATTGTAGTCTAATTTCCAAATAAAATTTGTCATTGGTATGTGGAAGTGGCAACAAAAATAGAGAGGAGAAAAGTAAAAACAAAGGAAAAGGAACAAATGTTTACTGCTTAGAGCATGATTATTGGTTGGACTCACACTAGGAGTCCAAATCATATATATATAATTGTAAATAATACAAAATTTAAAATTTAGACACTCTAAGTCCAAATCAACCAATTGAAGACACATATAAGTGTCTAAATGACTTCTAAAAGTCTAACTTTAGACATGAGTCCAATGTTTTTTTTTGTTTTTGATTTAAATTTTAGACAATTTTTGCTTTAGATCTCATACTTAGACTTCCTGATAATCATGCTCTTAGGCGTGAAGCAATGGGCAAAGGAAACACATTTTGAAATAGAAAACAGATCTTAACATGTAAATCACCTTGGCTTATAACTTCTATGAAGTTAAGATCTTGAGTCTATCTGTCTATGGTATACCTTGGATATAAGCACAAACCCATTAGTTTCTTCACTGTTTGAAGTTTGGCATGATTAGGAATGTTATCTATGTATGTAGGTCATGTTTAGGTCATTGAACTTTGGTTTCAAGTTTCTTGCTTTTTTTTGGATTTTCCCGCTGGAAAAAGAAGTCTAAGATAATAAAAAACAAAAGGGAGAAATACTCTTGAAACATTGATGATCTTAGAAATTTTGTACGACAATATATTTTCAACTAGTTTTTCCAGTTTAAATGTCATTTCTATTTGAATAAATGCGAAAGATAGTTCGAAACTTCGATTAGTCATGATTATGATATGGACCTATAATTGAGGGTAACATTTGGAGCTTCTTCGTTCTCAAGGTTATATATGATAAGGATCTTGTCCACAATACTTTTTCTCCACAATACTTTTTCTAAACCATAACGTATCTAAGACGATGACGGTGTGCGTAAAGCAGAAGCCACAATCAATCTCGCTATATGTATATGATGATTGCTAATTTTTATCGTTTTTACGCAATCAAATGATTTTCTTTGCTCATTTTGAGTATTTATTTTGTTTATGGGTCCCCGTTAACAACCAAAAGTGTCATTTCATGAACATTATATATGGTATTTAAAAATTATGTTCTTCTGAAGGATTATCAACTTCCACTAATGCAACAACAACATATATGGTTGAGGATCAAAAGAAAACAATTTGGTTGGGGTGCGTAACAAACAAAACACAAAACTTATGGAGCGTGACTGACCCGTATACATTAAATAAAGTCATGAACGAGATCATATTACAATTTTTTTGTTGCAGATAGATTACTTAAAAAAAATACAGAATTTGACTTATTCAGTTTTTTTGTTTTATCAACCAAACTTATTCATATCTATGATCCAAAGACATAATAGACGTGTTAGATTGTCCCACATCGAAAATGGAGTGTATCTAGCATAGTATATGATAGACATAGACCTTTCCACTGTTACTTAACATTTCTTTTAGGAGAATTGAAGATAACATTTCTATAAAACTACTAAAAGAAATGTGTAGAGACTACATACGTATAGCTATAAAAAAAAAATGTGTAGAGACTAGAGAGTCCTCCATTTCTCTAAATTTCCTATTAATATTCGATCATTTTCTAACAATTTGTGAACTTGACGAAATTGGGGAGGTGAGCGAATTGATCTTGGCCCGCCGAATTGGGCCGACCAGTCTATTAACGTTCTCTTTCTGAACAGGTCCAACTCATCCAAAGAGGCTAGTTCTTGACGAAAAGAATCTATATGAGTTAAGGTAAAAACTTGGATCCATTTTGGAAGACTACAGAGACCCAATCCACCTAAAAATTTTGGTTTACAAACTAAGCCCGAGTTTTCTTCTCTCACAAAACTTATATTTCGGGTAATTTTTAGGAAAAGATACAAAACCACAACACACATTTATGATGCTTAGATGGCATATTAGATTAGTGGGAGATAACTTTTTTTTTTTAATTGTCACTAACATGCCTTATACATTTTTCATCATGATAATAACTCGGCAAATTTACGAAAGTAAGAACACAAAAATATTTAGGAAGAATTATAATAGATTATCATGAAAATAATGTTACAAGATACATCAATATTTATAGAGATAAATATTAAATCTAATTTTTTAAATTAAGATAAAGATAAATGTAAATATACAGTACTTAAACAAGATATGATATTTTTTGGATATTTCTCGATCTTCATGATTTCCATATTCTTAGGCAATCATCTCGACAGTCGATTTCGGTCAATCTCCGGTTCTCCCAATAACTACCCACTCTTTGGCTTTCGATAGCATATTATTACTTTGTGTAGTTGCATTGTTATCTCTTTTTATTCTTTTTTTTACGTTTTTGATTTAGTTACATGTGTAGTATATATACATACTCGGCCCCCTTTGTCCGATGATTTTAGAAAAACGTGACATTTTTCTGTCTTACCTAACTATGGTGAAAATATGTTTTCTATAATAAAGGACAGTCACTTGCAATAATCTAATCGGTAGGACCGGGAATTCCATTATCACTTGCAGGACCGGCTCATGGGTAAAGCCCATGAAGCAAGGGCTTTAGACGTCAAATAATTATAAGTAGTTTTAGGGGCATCAATTTTTAAAATGTTATTGTGGTCTAGTGGTTAGATTGAAGTTTTTTGTTGTACAGGTCATGGTTTCGAATCCCATACATGTTAAAACTTGTATTTTTTTTTTTATAACAGCTTTTGCTAATGGGCCAAATTTTTTTTTTGCTTTAGGTACTCAAATAGTTTGGGCCGGCCCTGATCACTTGCATTAATCTAATCAGAAAGGATCGTTAGAAAAATTTATTTAACATTTGTTTAGTATATTAGTCTCCAAGTGTGAGTTTAAAACTATAAGACGAGACAGAAAATGTGTTGCATGCAGGTGAACACTCTTGGCCTAGAGGCTCTCATAAGTCACTGTATCAGCGAGCAACCGATTTTATTCTCTTCTCACATGTTACTAGGACAGCTGTCAATTTGTAATAGGATCATGAGTGTCATAAATATAAGCTATGCTCATGTAAGTATTTAACCGCAAACCCTTAAATGACAAATTAATTCATCTTTTTATCTAAAAATAAAAAACAAATTAATTCAGCTTCTCCAAAATTCCTTCCCAAAAAAAAAACAAAGTCAAGAAGAAAAATGGAAGAGAGAAGAGGGAGGAGAATAATCATGTTCCCTCTACCATTTGCGGGACACTTCAACCCGATGATCGAGCTCGCTGGAATATTCCACCACCGTGGCTTCTCCGTCACTATCCTCCACACTTCCTACAACTTCCCCGATCCTTCTCGCCACCCTCACTTCACTTTTCGATCCATCCCTCACAACAAAGAAGGAGAAGAAGACCCTCTATCTCAGTCAGAAACTTCGAGTATGGACCTCATAGTTCTCATGCTTCGGCTGAAACAATGCTACGCCGAGACGTTTCGTCAGTCTCTGGCAGAGGAAGTAGGTGGAGAAGAGACGGTGTGTTGTTTGGTCTCCGACGCTATATGGGGAAAGATCACGGAGGTTGTAGCGGAAGAGATTGGAGTTCGTAGGGTGGTGTTGAGGACAGGTGGTGCGTCGTCGTTTTGTGCTTTTGCCGCTTACCCTCTGCTTAGGGATAAGGGATACCTCCCTATACAAGGTAAAACACTACACTTCTCTTTTTTCTTTTTGGTTTTAATGTTAAAGATTTTTCCTATATAAAGAGTTACTGCAAAATTGTACTTAAAATTTACATTTACCTTTTTGATTTTTTCACCTTTATTTTGTATTTATCGATAAATCATAAAGTCATTTTAGGTAGGCAATTTTTTTCCACCACTTGCACTTATTTAATTATAAACTAATTAAGTCACTATCAAAAAAAATTATAAACTAATTAAGTTGGTGTAATTGATGATGGGATAGATATAACTGCAGTGTTCAAGAAAGCGTTAGGCGCTAAGTTATATAAACTAATTAAGTTGGTTTAAGGCGGTTTAGACGTTTATAACATAAAACATTATAAATATGATATTATATATAAAAGTTATATAAAATATATATAAAACTAAAAATTACGAAATTATAAACAAAAACTAAATAAGACATTTATTTATATCTATATTAAACAATATATAAATATTTATAACTATATATATATAAAAAACTCTAATTGAAATTGAAAAAATACATTAAACAAATTCTATATAATTTTAGGCGGTTAAGGCGGTTATTTAGGCGTCGCATGAGAGCCTAGCGCCTAGTCGGGGCCTAGGCGACCGCCTAGACCGCTTTTTAGAACACTAATAATTGGATTAAAGAAATCTAAAGTTTTCTTCCACGAAGGATTAGTTTTGGTATCGGTTTAGGATTCCTGGTAAAAAAATCTTATTAAAGATTTACTAAACATTATTTTTTCTCCAGATTCTAGATTAGATGAGCTAGTGACAGAGCTTCTACCTTTGAAAGTTAAGGATCTTCCGGTAATAGAAACGAAAGAGCCGGAGGAACTTTACCGGGTAGTTAACGATATGGTGGAAGGAGCCAAGTCTTCTTCAGGAGTCATATGGAACACATTTGAAGATCTTGAAAGACTCTCACTCATGGATTGTAGCAACAAGTTACAAGTTCCGTTTTTCCCAATCGGACCGTTTCACAAACATAGCGACGATCATCCACTGAAGACAAAGAACAAGGACGACGATAAAACAACCTGTTGGCTTGACAAGCAAGATCCACAGTCTGTAGTCTATGCGAGTTTTGGAAGCCTTGCAGCTATAGAAGAGAAGGAGTTTCTCGAGATTGCTTGGGGTCTAAGAAACAGTAAATTACCATTCTTGTGGGTGGTTAGGCCAGGGATGGTCCGAGGGACCGAGTGGCTTGAGTCATTGCCTTGTGGGTTTTTGGAAGACATTGGTCATAAGGGAAAAATTGTGAAATGGGTGAATCAACTAGAGGTATTGGCGCATCCTGCCGTTGGAGCGTTTTGGACGCACTGCGGATGGAACTCAACACTAGAGAGCATATGTGAAGGTGTTCCAATGATATGTACGCCGTGTTTCTCGGACCAGCATGTGAACGCGAGGTACATCGTTGATGTATGGCGAGTCGGTATGGTGTTAGAGAGAAGTAAGATGGAAATGAAGGAGATTGAGAATGCACTAAGAAGTGTAATGATGGAGAAGGGAGATGAATTGAGAGAGAGGAGTCTGAAGTTAAAAGAGAGTGCTGATTTTTGCTTAACTAAAGATGGATCTTCGTCCAAGAATTTAGAAAAACTTGTGAGTCATGTCCTGTCTTTTGATTCTTATGCTTTTGCAAGTTAGAAAAATCATGAATGAGTAATGTATTCTAAGCACTCTTCAAAACTTTGGATGTTTTAATTTGTTTCTTAAAATAATAATGTTCATGAGTTATTTTATACTTTGATTTTTTTTAATTAATATTAAAACTCAAATTTTATTGATTTTTATTTTTACGTAATTACCTTTTTCATATTATTTCGAATATTTTTCGATTTTCAAATTCTTATATTTAAATTTAGTTAATTTTTCTGCTTACAGTTTAAGTGTTTCTTGGTGTCTAAATGGGTCAATAGCAACATGATCAATGGATCGTAATTTGATGGTCTAAAGATTTTAACTCGTAATGAATTGATGGATCCAATAAAATTTTACCATAATAGGTTGATAATATTATATATGATGATGAATCTAAAGAAAAACAAATAACAATTTTTCACAAAAAAACTTTGTTTACATCAACTGCATTATTGTTTTTAATCTAGTTTGACATCTAAGAAGAAAAATCAGAGCAATAAAAAAACAGAGCAGCTAAGCAAAAAGTAAAACAGAGTAATAAAAGGCTTGCTAAAGGCGTGATCCAAACTTTGATCCAATCCAAACTTGAGAAAAGTTCGATTTCAGACCATCCGATCAATGTTTTTGATAACAGCCGAGGGAGGGCTAGCGAAACAAGTAACATTTATTTACTTTTCTCTAATCTCTTAAAGTAATTGGTGGAACAAATGAGTACAACCATTGCTGATGCTACGAAGCGGCGACTACATGAGCACAGCTTATATTTATGACGCCCATGATCCTATGACAAATCGACAGCTGTCCTATTTTTAGCTAGGATTTTAGACTCTGCTCGCGGACAGACAATGACTTGAGAGAGCCTTTGTTTGGCCGAAAGTGTTCAACAACAAATCCAATATATCCTCTTGATTGTGAAGACAAAAAAAAAGATAAGAAGAAGAAAATGGAAGAGAGAAAAGGGAGGAGAATAATCATGTTCCCTCTACCATTTACGGGACACTTCAACCCGATGATGGAGCTTGCTGGAATATTCCACCACCGTGGCTTCTCCGTCACGATCCTCCACACTTCTTTCAACTTCCCTGATCCTTCTCGCCATCCACACTTCACTTTTCGAACCATCACTCACGAAAACGAAGGAGAAGAAGACCCTCTGTCTCAATCAGAGACGTCTTCGGGTAAGGACCTTGTCGTCCTCATTAGTCTGCTGAAACAATGCTATACCGAGCCGTTTCGCCAGTCTCTTGCAGCGGAAGTAGCCGGAGGAGGGACGGTGTGTTGTTTGATCTCTGACGCTCTATGGGGGAGGAACACCGAGGTTGTAGCGGAAGAGGTTGGAGTTCGTAGAATGGTGTTGAGGACAGGTGGTGCCGTATCGTTTTGTGCTTATGCAGCTTTCCCTCTCCTTAGAGATAAGGGTTACCTCCCTATACAAGGTAATCTTTTTCTATAATGTGTAAGATTTTTTTCCTTAAATACACTGATCTTTCAAAATATTTCATCTTTTTTTTTTTTTTTTTTTGATATTTATCGTTGGCTTCTTTTCTTTTTCGACTGTATACAATTATCGGATGTAAATCCAAATTAGTACGTGGCGACTATAACAAAAAGTTGGTTAGAAATTGATTGTAAACAATACAAAAATGACTTAGATAATATAAACAAGATTTAAGTATGGACCATTTTTTTTGTTTTTTTATAAGGTATATCTATATGGACCATATTATTTGCTATTTACTGAACGGTAAATTATCAAGTCAATTTAAGTTGGCCTTTGTTTTATTACACCACTTGTCACTCTGTAAGAGATGATTGGGATACATATTGGAATATATAATCCAAAATTTTTGCCTCTCGAATGATTAGTTTCCGTTTTTGTTTAGGATTCCTGGTTTACAAGAAAGTTTCTTAACATTTTTTAGCAATATTAAAGATTTGCCACACTATTTTTTCACTCCAGATTCTAGATTAGATGAGCTAGTGACAGAGCTTCCACCTTTAAAAGTGAAGGATCTTCCGGTAATAGAAACAAAAGAGCCGGAGGAACTTTACCGGGTAGTTAACGACATGGTGGAAGGAGCCAAGTCTTCTTCAGGAGTCATATGGAACAGTTTTGAAGATCTTGAAAGACTCTCACTCATGGATTCTCGCAGCAAGTTACAAGTTCCTTTCTTCCCTATCGGACCGTTTCACAAACATTGCAACGATCTTCCACCGAAGACAAAGAACAAGGACGATGATGAAATATTAACCGATTGGCTTGACAAGGAAGATCCACAGTCTGTGGTCTATGTGAGTTTTGGAAGCCTTGCAGCTATAGAAGAAAAGGAGTTTCTCGAGATTGCTTGGGGTCTAAAAAACAGCGAACGACCATTCTTGTGGGTGGTTAGGCCGGGGATGGTGCGAGGGACCGGGTGGCTTGAGTCATTGCCTTGTGGGTTTTTGGAAAACATTGGTCATAAGGGAAAATTTGTGAAATGGGTGAATCAACTAGAGGTATTGGCTCATCCTGCCGTTGGAGCGTTTTGGACGCACTGCGGATGGAACTCAACAATAGAGAGCATATGTGAAGGCGTTCCAATGATTTGTACGCCGTGTTTCTCGGACCAGCATGTAAACGCTAGGTACATTGTTGATGTATGGCGAGTTGGGATGGTGTTAGAGAGAAGCAAGATAGAAAGGAAGGAGATTGAGAATGCGCTAAGAATTGTAATGATGGAGAAAGGAGATGGATTGAGAGAGAGGAGTTTGAAGTTGAAAGAGAGAGCTGATTTTTGCTTAAGTAAAGATGGTTCTTCTTCCAAGTATCTAGATGAACTTGTCAGTCATGTCCTGTCTTTTGATTCCTAGGCTTTTGCAAGTTAAAAAAATCACAAGGAACAAAATGTATCTAGGCACTCTTCAAACCTTTGGATAACCAAGTGTCGCTAAATCAACTGGTAAAGACCCTAGGCGAAGCTTAGAGGTCGCTGGTTCGAGTGACGCTTGAGACGAAACTAATATTACATGATGTGGTTTCGGGCCTGGGAGATTACGGGCTTTGGCCCAGAACCTTTTAGTATTCAAAAAAAATAATAATAAATTTTTTTGGATATGATGTTTTGATTTTAAAAATAATAATGTTCCTTGTTTAATAAATTCAAAATTTTAATTAAAATTTTTCTTTATCGTTTTATGTTTTCATATTATTTAATGTTGATACTTTTATAATTATCAAATTTTGTTAATTTTATGTCTACATCTATCAGTTGTAGGTATCTAAATGACTAAATGGTCAATATCAAACTCGATCAAGCAATCATAATAGGTTCATAATCTTATTTTTTTATGTTGAATCTAAAAAAAACAATAACATATTTTTGTTTTGAACTTTTTAAAATAATTGGTGGGTCGAATACTCGAATGTATGTGTAATCAGTCAATCTATTACAACTATGCTCATACTACCAGGCGACGACTAGTTGCGTATTGAGAGTTTTAAAAACCACTGAAAACACCAATAATACAACAAATCAAATATATCCTCACAATCTCCAATAACAAAAAGAAAAGGAAAAAAATTAAAAATTAAAAAAGAAACAATGGATGAGAGAAAAGTGAGGAAAATAATCATGTTCCCTTTACCGTTTCCGGGACACTTCAACCCAATGATCCAACTCGCCAGAATATTCCATCACCGTGGCTTCCCCGTCACGATCCTTCACACTTCTTTCAACTCCCCAAATCCTTCTCACTATCCACTCTTCGCTTTTCGAACCATCCCTCACAACAACGAAGGAGGAGAAGATCCTCTGACTCAACCAGAGGCTTCTAGTATGGATCTTGTCGCCTTTATTCGACTGCTGAGACAAACCTATGCGGAGACGTTTCGTCAGTCTCTGGCGGCGGAAGTAGGCGGAGGAGAGACGATGTGTTGTTTGGTCTCCGACGCTGTTTGGGCGAGGAACACGGAGGTTGCAGCCGAAAAGGTCGGAGTACGTAGAGTAGTGTTGATTACAAGTGGTGTGGCGTCGTTTTGTGCTTTTGCTGCTTTCCCTCTCCTTAGAGATAAGCATTACCTCCCTATACAAGGTAGATTAGATACAAAAAATCTTATCTTTTAATTTCAACTTTATTTTTTTATATGATTTATTCTCTTTCGTGGTCAATAAATCATATAAAATCATATTCTCTTTCATCTAATGAGGTGTGTCACGGTTCCTATAGAATACTAATGCCATTTCAAATTTAAAAATAAACATTACGCCGTTAATACTTCTTGTTATAGAAACAAAAAAAAATGTTTTCGTTTACATATCGTTTTAGTTCAACAAAAATTGATATATTTTATTACTTAATTATCTTTGTGCATGTTAACCTATAGAGATTTATGTATTTCTTAGATAAATAGTCAATAGTTGTAAACTTGTAATAAATGATGCAGAAACATTTATTGGATCATAGAATCTAAAATTTTATTTTCTTGACATTTTTTAGCATTATTAAATAGTACATTTTTTTCTCACATATATATCTTTATTTACCAGATTCTAGATTAGATGAGCTAGTGACAGAGTTTCCACCTTTGAAAGTTAAGGATCTTCCGGTAATGGAAACGAATGAGCCGGAGGAACTATACCGGGTAGTTAACGATATGGTTAAAGGAGCCGAGTCTTCTTCAGGACTCATATGGAACACATTCGAAGATCTTGAAAGACTCTCACTCATGGATTTTAGGAGCAAGTTTCAAGTTCCCATATTCCCGATTGGCCCGTTTCACAAACATAGCGAAAATCTTCTACCGATGATAAAGAACAAAGAAGACCATGTAACAACCGATTGGCTCAATAAGCAAGATCCCAAGTCTGTGGTCTATGTAAGTTTTGGGAGCCTTGCAAATATAGAGGAGAAGGAGTTTCTCGAGATTGCTTGGGGTCTAAGAAACAGTGAACGACCGTTTTTGTGGGTAGTTAGGCCCGGGTTAGTCCGAGGGACTGAGTGGCTGGAAGCATTGCCTAGTGGATTTGTGGAAAACATTGGCCAGAAGGGAAAATTTGTAAAATGGGTGAATCAATTAGAGGTATTGGCGCATTCTGCGGTTGGGGCGTTTTGGACGCATTGTGGATGGAACTCGACACTAGAAAGCATATGTGAAGGTGTTCCCATGATATGTACACCGTGTTTCACGGACCAGTTTGTGAATGCGAGGTACATTGTTGACGTATGGCGAATCGGGATTGAGTTAGAGAGAACTACGATGGATAGGAAGGAGATTGAGAAGGTGTTACGAAGTGTAGTGATAAAGGAAGGAGATTTAATTAGAGAGATGTGTTTGAAATTGAAAGAGAGAGCTACTGTTTGCTTAAGTATAGATGGGTCTTCTTCCATATATCTAGACACACTTGTGAATCATGTCCTGTCTTTTGATCCTTATGATGTTGCAAGTTAGAAAAGCTACTAGTTGCGATGTTTCTAAACACTCTTCAAATCTTTGGATGTCCTGTTTTATTATTTTAGTAAAGAGTAATGTTGTTGGTTGTTACTTGTTTAGCTAGGTAATCTATATTTTTTTGATAACCCAGTATCCAGACCACACAGTGATCTGACTAGCCCACTGGGCCTAAGCCCACGTCACAGGGATTTTTAAGCCTCCACTTAAGGGCCCCATGATAAACTGGTGGTCTGGGGCGCCTGAGCAAGTCCGCATGTAAATTCCCAGGTGGCCACAGGAGTGAGAGAGCGAAACTGCGTCTGGGGAGGATCGATCCCTGGCCTAGACCAACAGGGCGATCCTTCCAACCAAACGAGAACCACTCGCCCACCACCATGTGGTTAGGTAATCTATATGACTGTTCATACTTATGAGTTATGAAAGAAGATATGGATAATGGGCCATATACATTATCTAGGTATCTGGTAGGCCTGGGCATTCGGTTAACCATTCGGTTTCGGTTCGGTTATTTTCGGTTTCGGTTAGTTTGGATATGGTAATATAATAACCATTCGGATATTTTAAGAATTTCGGTTCGGTTCGGTTACCTTTCGGTTTGGTTCGGTTTGGATATTTAAATAGATAACCGTAACTAACCAAATTTTTATCACGTTCGGTTTGGTTCGGGTTTTTACCCAAATTTACCGAAATTTACCGAATATAACCGAAACTAACCAAAATTAACCAAAAAATACAAAAGAATTAAAATATTAAAAAAATAAAATAAAATTTGATTCAATTTTGTAGAAGAGTATTTAACTTTGACAAATATAACAAACAATATTTGAATATTTTGATTATTTAAAGTATTTGATTGTTTTGATTCTGAAAATAATTAATATTTTGAGTTTATAATTATAGTTTTGGATATTATTTTTGGGTATCTTATAGGTTTTTGGATATTTCGGTTAACCGTTTGGTTATCGGTTTGGTTCGGTTCGGTTTCGGTTAGTTTGGATAGGGGATTTTACAAATCATTCGGTTATTTTAAAAACTTCGGTTCGGATATGGTTTGGTTTTTTTCGGTTCGGTTCGGTCGGTTATTTAGTTAGCGGTTTTTTTGCCCAGGCCTAGTATCTGGTATGGGAAACATAGTCAAGATAAACCGAAAACCAAAGTCAATGAAACTGAATCCTGGTCTAGATCAAATAAAAATGAAATTAATTAGGGGTTAGGAAAGAGTATTTTGACGATAAAATTTTGAACATACCTGGAGGTAATTTGGAAATAAGGAAATGTTACGAGATTATTAGTAAGTAGAAAGTTGGAGTTTTCTATTCCATATTGGAAGCTTAAGTTAAGATAAAAATAAGTCGATGTAGGTATATAGTTTTCAGTAATAATTTGAATTGTTATTGTTTCCTTGTATAATTTTCTTTAATAGCTAATTGAACAAATTGGATATTTCAGATTTATATGAAGGCGGATTCGGCGCCGGACAAAACACGTGAGAGAAAAAGACAAAAACCACGTGCGAATTGCGAAAGAAAGCAAACTTTGTTATGGGCGATAATGGTCTATGGGAACACGTCAGTTCTTGCGCTCGTGTCAGCTCCATTAACCATCCGCAATCAGCGAAACAATGGTCAGAACTTTTGATTTCGATTTTCGTTTTTATTCTTCTAATCAAGATCTTTAATTTCTCTTATCTGAACTTCAAAATTTCAATGTTCAACTTTAATAGTGATTCACATTGATCTCGATCGAATGTCACTGTGCTTATATACTTTCATGAAAATGGTAGTACCAAATTACCTCACTTTTATTTGGTGGTTAAACATGTTAATGATAAAAACATATGAAAATTTGTAATGTTCATTAAAAATATATTATAATGAAGTCACATATATATGGTTTTAGACATTGAACTATCGTAACAACCTTAGCTGTAGAATCTTTATAATATCAGGTATAGATTTTGTTTCGGATTTTCCATATTTGTTTTAGTTATTCTTATATCATGAACTGATTTTATTCTACTCATGAGTTATACAGACAAATTGCACATCGGCTAAAGAGATTCTCAACAGCGTGCATGTCATGATTATTCAACAATCATAGTCATACAATTTTCAATAATGCGGAACATATTATTATACGATACATTGCCCTTGTGGAAAAATCACAAATATTGTTAAGATCGTATTATATAGTTTGAACTCACTTGATGAATGATGAAGGCAACTAATGGACACACATGCATTTATGTATATAGAAAAAAGATTTGATTTCTTAATGTAACCGTAACGGCAAGCAAATCAAAATTTAAGGGAAATATATTAATAGTCGGTCTGATGATACGCCGTCAGCCACGTTCGGCCGACAATTCATTTCCCAAACAAAATGTCGTCTCTTCATAATCCATTTCTCGTCGTTTTTCTACAAATACTTTTTCTTTTGGTTAGTACTTTTTCCTTCTCTTACGGAATACAATTTGCAAGTTTATAAGATACTTCGTTTCACGTTATCGTTATCTCATTAAGGGTAACTTCAAGCAAGACTTAAACAACATAAAGAAAAAATTTCTAACTTCCTTACTTTTTTTCTCTTCATTTTAAAATGTAGATATTTGTATTTAGTTTTTTTCTAAATGTTAAAATATTATGTTTAAAAATATAACCATATTACTAAAAAAATCATAAATGTAAACATCAAATATAAATGAGTGTTTCGTTCTTGAATGAAATACTAACACCAAACTAAATTTGTAAACAGTAGTATTGCTAGTAGTGAAGTTATCCATCTTGAAAATCGTAGTTTTGTTATTTTATAGTACAATTTTTGCTTATGTCGATTGCAAGACTAATTAATTTAAATTAAACCGATATTCATTGAACCTTATGCAGCATTGAATGAGAAAAAGTGATAAACATTGTACTTAATTAGAAGTAAAAAAAATGATGAAACGGAAAAAGGAGACGCATGATCTTGTCAAATAAACCCTTATTCAGAAAGAAAAGATTATTGAAAGTAAAGTTTACTAGTTAGTTTCCTTTTTAACAAAGAAACTAGATAAATCAGAAATGACAATTAAAGAAGTGCATTGTAGTTTTAGTTATAAAAATTATTGTATTATTATCCGGAATCCAAAATCTGTTAGTATATTATGAAACATGTTAAAAAAAAGTTTTATATTCCAATCATCGATTTTTCGTATCGGAATTCGTTTTACCCGTAAAATAATTAAATACGACAATTTCTTTTCTAACGTAACTTAAATAACAAACATATACATCTTTGTAAAAGAGTTGATGAAGATTTACAAAATTTAGATTGCTCGAAAACTAAGAAGATGTGTGTTTGGTAAATTTGAGAGGATGAAGATGATATCCGGGAATATATTTATAGAGAAATATTTTTGTAGGGTTCCGTTTAATTTTTGAAATTTGGATTGCCTTCAAAATTTGAAAAATTAATTTATTGTTGATTTTATGATAGATTTAGTTTTGAGAATTAATTTTATAAATGTAGTTTGGATTTATGAACCTAGGAAAATTTGTACTTACAAAAGTTATAAAACTATATTCTAATATATTAATTTACATGAATTATACGCTTACATGTTTGAGTTGTTAAATATATATATATATATATATATATGTTAGTCTGGATTTAAAAATATAGACCTTAGATCAATTTAATATATATACATATACACAAATTCTTTATGTATAGATAGAGATATGATGTTTGTATTACTGATGTTTAATGTTAATTAACGAAATAATTAGAATATCATGGCACATTTGTAACTAATCTAGTAATATATAGACCATTAGTTTGCTCGATTTATGAAATAAAAAATGTCTGTTTGATTTTAAGTTTAAGCTTGGACGTAGCATGTCTTAAATTTTAATATTAGATAATACAGATTTGTTATTTGTTATGCATATATAGAAAAAATGTAACATTTGTTATGTATTTGCTAATATAGAAATAATAAAGTTTGTCTCGTATACATTGTGTGTTTTTTTAATTTTTAATTAGAAATTCGTTTTTGATTAGTGGGATATATGGATATATGAGACTAATGGCAAATTCTGTAAATAGTCTAATAAATCTTGGGTAATTATCTAAATAGAAGCCAAATCATTGTAAGAGCGACATATTAACTTGGCAATCTTGTTAATAACACATGATGATAAGTTTTTTTTTTTAAAATGTTTCTTTATTAATATATAGAGGATATATTATGAGCCGGTTTAAGCTAAGCAACTCAAAATGGATAAAGATTTCAAATTTGACTCTTTGTGATTAATAAAATTATAAAAGAGAAAACAACCATTGATATTTTATTTTCTAGATTGGTCTATTTTTTTACCTTTCAATCTGCGTTCAGAGCGGCGCCGCATATTGAACACGAAATAGAACAGATTAATTATTCATTGAACTGCACCAAAAGACAAAGTTCTCTTTTACCAATTAAAAGCCTAATAGTACTTTTTACGTTTATTTTATTGAAGAAGTATATACTTTTTGACAATTATTGAAATATATAGTTTTTTAAACAAGATTGTTAAGCAGAAAGGACAAAGCTCAAAGGTATTTCTTCATTCACGACAAAAGAAAATGTATTTCTCTTACTTTTAGTGGAATTTTTACATTATTTCTACACCCAAAACAAATATTTTTAATACATAGTAGTATATTCAATTGTTATTAGATAGAGCAAAGGGAGACATGAAGCGTGCGAACACGACAATACACAAATAGTATCAAATCGTCTTCGGTCGGTTGGTCATCTCTCTTTATTTCTCTAATACTATAATTTCATATATATAAATCGCCAACCCATGAGCTTATGTTATTCAATATCTCATCATAATATATATTGAAACCCTTTCATCTTCTAAAATTATTGTAACCAAAGAAAGAAAAAGTTTCGATTACACATCTTTTTTTTGGCAATCACTTTTCTCTTCTAAGATTTTGCTAAAAGAGTTAAAAATGAGAACACTTTGTCCTAATTTCGATAGAGAAGACGGTCTAGAGACCGTGTTGGAAGTTCCGATGCCGGAGGAGTTGTTTTGTTCCGACAACAACAAGAGCGGCACTTGGCGTAGCGTCAAATCTAGTTTGCTCCGGTCACCGCCGGATAACAGTAGTAGCCTCGCCACACTTTTTGGTGGACGTGACGCTCAGATTCAGATGCTTCTTGGAATCGTTGGAGCTCCGTCGATCCCTCTTCCTGTTGCTTCCGATCACGACGAGATTGATCATCCCATCTCCAATCTCATCAAAAACCAATCTATTGTAAGTTATCTAGACAGATTTTAAAAATATCAATTCGACTAGATTGTTTGTTTGCGTTTGATTTAGGGTTTCATTGTTTAAAACAATTGCATCACAGATTTACTTGAGCGATAAGTTTCTGATTTTATTTTTGTTCTGTTTTTGGGTATCAATAGGAATCAGCCATGGCGAAGTACATAGTAAAGCAATACACCGCAGCAGCAGGAGGAGAGATGGCTTTGGCTGGGGTGGAGAGCATGTACGCGATCGGAAAGGTGAAGATGGGAGTGACTGAGTTTTGTGCAGCGAAAACCCTAAATGGGAAGAGGAAGAATAAGATGGTGAGGATAAGAAACGTCAATAACAACAACGGAAACGGAGGAGAGATGGGAGGCTTTGTGTTATGGAAGAAAGGATTGAGTCAATGGAGTTTGGAGCTTGTGGTTTCGGGTTGTAAAGTTAGTGCTGGTTGTGATGGTAACGTGGCTTGGAGACAAAGCCCTTGGCTCGCACATTCTCATGCTTCTAATGAACCTTCTGGACCTCTCAGAAGGTTTCTCCAAGGGCTTGATCCTAAAACCACCGCAAATTTGTTCGCTGGATCGGTTTGCGTGGGTGAAAAGGCGGTTAATGACGAAGAATGCTTTGTGCTTAAGCTCGAAACGCAGCCATCGGGACTTAAATCTAGAAGCAAGAGCGGTATGGAAACGGTGAAGCATACCGTGTGGGGATGTTTTAGTCAAAGAACAGGACTTTTGGTTCAATTAGAGGATACTTATCTAGTACGGATCAAGACCTGTCTGGAAGAAGAAGATATGGTCTTGTGGGAAACGACGTCTGAGACATTGATCCAAGATTATAAGAGCGTTGATGGGATACAGATTGCTCACAGAGGAAAAACACGTGTCTCATTGTTGAGGCTTGATGAGAGCTTAGAGAGCCATTCAAAGACTACAATGGAAGAGAGTTGGGAGATTGAAGAAGTGGGTTTTAATGTGAAGGGTTTGTCTTCGGATTTCTTCTTGCCTCCAGGTGACTTGCATACCAAGGAAGAAGAAGAAAGTGGATTTAGTTTCGGAGATTATAGTAGTCCTATGCTGCTTCCATTGAAGGTTAGTACAGCTTCATGGAAACTCAAGTCCTCTAAAGTCACAGCTATTGAAGATTTTGGTGAATTTGAGGGATGAGAAATGAAGACGTTTCAAGATATTTTTATTGTAAATTGATCTTCATTTTTTTTTTTTTTGTATATATATATATGGAAAATTATGGAGAAAAGTGCTTGTAAATAACATTATGACGAATAGAAAAGCAAGCCTTTTTCCTTATTCTCTCTCGTTTATGTAATCTTACATTTTTCCTGGTATCTAGCTTCCTCTTGTACTTGTCACTTATAGTGTGCTCTGTTTAAAAACAGAGTAACAAAAACAAAACTGCAAAAGAATCAGAGTAAACAACAATGTTTTTAACGGCAAATCAAAGCCTTTTAGCCCAAGTCAAGATACTTCATGGGCCTAAGCCCAACTGCTTACATTTTAAACCAAACCGAATTTAACCAGATTGCTATTAGAGTACCTAAACCAAGAACCAGAACTTCACAAGCTAAGAAAATAATAGAAGAACCAAAAAACTGTTACAAAAAAACATTATACAAGAAGCCTCTAATTTCATTTGAAAACCAGTTTGAAACAACAATCAGTGCTGATGTTTATGATTTAGGATTTTTATATAATAAGAGACACGATACAGACTCTGTTTTCTATCTTTCTTCCACCAAATCCGAATCAAAATGTCAGAAACAACATCCATAAGTACCAGTCTGGTACTTGTTGACATGAAGATCATCATCTATATGCGTCAAAGCGCAAAGAATCAAGAAAAAAGGGGGAAGATGAATCTCAAACCTACTTTTGAGTTTCAGCTTCTTGCACAGAAGAAATCTTGTCTAGGCATCATTCCGGTAAACTTGATTCGAGGATCATTATAATTGAAATTATCGATCTTCAAACTCTGTTCTGCTTCTCTGATAACGGCATTGTCAAGGCCACTCTTTATCCATGCAATGTTGTTCAAATCGGTTGCTATAGATATCAGTTCTTGGTTGAAAACTGCAGAAGGCTCTTCATAATCCACAAACTCTGGTCCCAACACCGAGTTACTTGAGAACTTAATTTCAGCTGGATGAGTAGAGCAGCCGTGACCACATTTTGACGGAATCTGAGGTTCATCGCAAAGAGATTGTAGAAATTTACCAGCCAATGAATCGGGCTTAGCCGCTTGAATTAACGGTCCCTCGCATGGAACTATATTGTGGTCTCTGTATCCATTTCTCTGGCTGGTTGGGTTATAGACACTGAATGCGCCAACACGAGCCACTGGGCGAAACACGTTATTGTCTATTGGAACGTTACTCTCTAGTGGTGGAGCTTGTTCTTGAGGTTCATTAGCTGCCTCTTCCATTACAACATCACTCACTTGTGGAGGCTTTGGCGGTGAATTGATATCTCCTTGAGGCAACTGTTGTTTTGAGGATGGATTAGATGCTTCATCGACATTTTCGTTCTTGACGTAAGCGGTAGTAACTGAATTAGCCATCCATTGACCATTATTCCATAGATCTGCGTATTTACGTCTAAGCGTTGAGTTCCAATGGTTCTTGATGGCATTATCTGTTCTTCCAGTTAACATTTTCGCAATCACTGCCCATTTGTTTCCGTGAACCGCGTGAGCAGAAATTATCATACGATCTTCCTCATCTGCAAGCAGATCAAACAGAACGAAATGAAAAAAAAAAAGAATCAATCTTAAAAGCCAAACCCAAAAGAATCCTAAAAAGGATCACAACAAAAGAGTTCATTATAAGTAAATCTCTTCTCCAACTTTTCTATAGGCTTCAATTAAGTAAGAAAACTATCTATATCTGTGACATAACACACTGTGATTACAAAACAACCTTTTCTTTCTCTTACTCTATGGTTAAAGTAAATCAACAGAATTAAAGAAGGGAAATTTCAAGATTTTGAGATAAAAGTAAAGCTAACATTTTCACAGAATTGCATCAGAACAACAATACCTCAATGACAATAAAACAATCAAACTCAAACATAGTTCTCGTTAACTTCACAATCTTCCACCATAGTAGAATCAGAATTACACATTTGGAACACAAAGATAACAACAACAAGGAAAATTCAGTAATTCGATTTCAATACGAAAACAAACCACTCATGGATTTGTAATGAAGATCAAGAAATCACTCCGAACATTTGCAAGAAGAACACTAAAAATCAAATAAAACCAAACCTCAAAAACCCAAAACCCAAGAATCTGAATTTAGATGTAACAAAATCAGAGGGTTTAAAGTATTTACCAGAGAAAGGTTTACGCTTGAGACAAGGGTCAAGCTGATTACACCAACGCAATCGACAAGATTTGCCAGAACGACCAGGGATTCCACGAGCGATCAAACTCCAATTCCTCGCTCCTAATTTCCTCACAAGCTTCGTTAAAACCGCGTCTTCCTCCGTAGACCAAGGTCCTTTAACTTTACTCTTAATCCCTCCGCCACCACCACCGCCGCTTGAATCTCCAGCAGCTAACTCAGCAAGCTCCGCCTCAATCGAAGCACTGATTCCTTCATCGGAATCTGCAGATGTTAAAGGTAACGGCTCCGATCGATGAGTTTCTCCTTCCATTAACACAAAAAAGTTCGATTTTTTTTTTTTGGGCAAAATTAATTAAAAAAATGAAATTTGGTTTGTACCAGCTTTCCTAACTGCAAAAGCTTAGTGGGAGGTTTAATAAGAGAGGAAGGCTTCATGTTCTTTTCGGGTTCGGTTTTTTGTTAAATTACTATTTTACCCCTCTTTCTTGGTTCGTTTTTTCTTCATCTGTTATTAAATTACAATATTACCCTTCTCTTTCATTGAATTTTCCCCCAATTTTTTCTATAACGCCTAGTCTGTTATGAGTCATAATAGCTCGCCTTTTCTCCACTTTCCACTATATTTTTTATAATTTATAATTAGGAGAAAAAAAATCCTCCATTTCCACGAAATTACTTGAATATAACTTGGTTTTTTCGATAAATAATTTGGTAGGTCTGGTTTTTGTAAGTGATAAGTTTGAACAGAAAACTGATAAAGTGAGAGAAGATTGTATGTTATATGCAAAATTTAAGGATATTAGCGTGTGGTTTTAAAGATGATCTGACATCTAAATTAGTAAGCAAAAAAAAAAACACGTTTTTAGTGGTTTAAGTGTTGAATCAAGTTGAAAGTGATTGATATGAATTTCAATATATTTTAAATAAACATATCAATTACCAGATTAGATGATCATGCTTTAGAAAGCCCGCTCAAATGCTGCTGTTAGTATAATGTCTATAATCTGAGAGCTTGAAAAATATTATGAGAGGCTAAAGACTACTTCAAAGACAAGTGTTGTTGGAACTCGAAGACATTCATGAAACTCTTTCTGATATTTTCATTGCTTCTACGTCTTTCTCTAGCTTCTTATGTCGGTTTATTGCGAGAGCAGCAAATGTTGTAGCTGACTCCCTTGCTAGACAATCTCTATCCTTGTATGGTCTTAACATTTGAGTAACAGAGATTTTGGTGCACAAAAGAAAAAAAGACAAGTGTTCTAAGGACAGAGAGAAGTATACGTCCCACAAGGGCATTTGGGCTTTACTAATGTGATATTAATTGAACCAAGGCCCAACGAGGTCTTTTGGGCTTTACTGATGTGATATTAATTTAAATTTGTATGGGTTTGATAGCAATATTAATAATAAGAAGTTTGACTTAGATTCCCAAAATATTTTTCATTATCCATATTTTTGTAATTTTAGTTTATGGGATTGTTCATTATTGGGAACGAAAATAACATATACGGTATGTAACAAATAAATTGATTTGAAATAACTTTCACAGCTGAAATAACTTGTTAATTAAATAGAAAATTATACTTCCTCTCTTTCATAATAAGTGTCTTTTAAAGTTTTTGCACACATATTAAGAAAACAATTAAATTTTATGTTTTACCCATTATTTATATTCCCTCCGTTTCATAAAGAGTGTCGTTTTAAGGTTTTATTGTTGTTTCACAAAGAGTGTCGTTTTAGGTTTTCAATGCAAAATTTAATGATTTTTTATGTTTTATGACTATTAGTATTCTGCATATTGTTTTACTATTGGGCATATTATGTTATGTTTAGGTATATATTTAATGATGATTTGTTTTGAAAAAACAAAAAATTTAATGTTTTCTTAATCTGTGTGCAAAACTCTAAAATGACACTCTTTGTGAAACAGAGGGAGTATAGTTTATTATTTTTTCATTGGTCAATACATTAAATTAGTAAAGACAAAACTGGAAATTTTACCAAACATCTGCATTGAAAACACAAAACGATAGTTATTTTAAAACAAAATTCAAATGCTAAAACGACACTTAATATGAAACGTTGGGAGTATAAAGCTGACACTCATTAAGTAGGAAGAGGATTTATAGTAATCCGATAAATTAACATGCAAAAAATTGAAGAGATTTCTAGTTCTTAATTTCTACGCCGATAAAAAAAAAATATGATAAGAGATTTTAAATATAGTTAGTTGAGATTGAAAGAAACATAGCCATGGAGACCAAATTACCCTCCGATAAACATGTAAAGAAAATATCAAAAGTGAGACATAATCTACTCTTTTCTAGGCTTTAAATGTAGAGCCACTAGCAACCTCGTCTGTGCATTTTTACTGCACAGATCAAAACTCCATAATAAGAAAATAGGAACTCCCATGAACCCCAATAACAATATGCATACCATGAGCGGATTAAAGTATTACATGAGTGAACAAACGCTTCCGAGTGCGAAGGCGAGTGTAAAAAAATATCGGAAAGTTAAGGAAGTTGATGACCTGATGACAGGGGTGCTAGATCCTACTCCAAGTTTCAGTACCACGGACCCGCAGAGCAATGATGAATGATCATGCCTAGAGAACAAGAAGAACCACAACTAGGCCATCAAAACGACTCTCCGTGTCTGTCTTATTGGGTCTATAGAAAAGAGGAAATGTTAAGTTGCTTAATAGAAAAATATAAAGAAAAATAAAAGAAGAGAGATTTACTTCTGATAAACATGTAAAATAAATATCAAACATGTATAGAAAAGTACTTATTTTCCCTCCGATAAACATAAAGAAAATATTAAAAGAGAGACATTTGTTGTAAATGGTTACATAGTTTTTGAGGAATTCTCGAGCAATTCTCAAGAAATTCTTGAGGAATACTTGAGGAATTTGTGAGGACTTGTCGATGTTTCAAAGTTTTATTTTTGTTTTTAAATTGTTTAATAAATTAATCAATTTTATTATTATTAAAACTAAATAATTATTATAACTATAATATCTAATTTAATAGTAGAAGCCTTCCACTACAAGTTGTTAATAAGAAAAAATATAAACTAGCAAAATAAAATAGTTTTTATTTTAAATGTGCAATTACTAGTTTATTTTATTAGCTTATGCTTTTATACGATATTTATATTTGATAAAAAGGATTAAATGTATTACATTCTTAATATTTTACAAATTGGAGATTTTTCCAAATTAAATTATTATCTTATTTTTAATAAAATTATTAAATTATATAAAATTTCAAGTTTAATATTTGTTTATTTATTTGGTCTTGTTGAGAAAATAAATTATGTAATTTATATTTTCATATGTTTTCTTTAATTAATTTATTTATTTTTAAAAGGTCAGCCAGTCTGTTATGACTTATGAGTGGGCTTCCATTCACCAACAAAGACTAAAATTTAATAGCTTGCCTTTTTCTCCTCTTATTTTTTTACAATTTATAATTAGAAGAAAAAATACCCCATTTCCACTAGCTTGCCTTTTTCTCCTCTTATTTTTCTAGTGATAAGTGTGAACATAAAACTGATAAAGTTAGAGAAGATTATAGGGAAATTGTTAAAAATACCCATTTTGGTGTGTCCCTTTTCAAAAATGGAACTTTTAGATGTCCATTTTCAAAAATGCCCCTTTTTAAATCTAAAATTTTAATAAAGTTTTATTAGGTTTATAAGGTACTTATGGATTGTAACTACTACTTGAAGACTCGATCCAAGTATTTATAAGGTTTTATAAGGTGTTTTTAAAGGTTTTACAAGTTATTTTAAAGGATTTTTAAGGTTTTTCAAAGGTTTTACAAGATATTTTAAAGGTTTTTAAAAGTATTTAAAATGCATTTATAAGGTATTTATAAAGTATTTATAAGATTTTAGATACATAGAAATGTAGTTTGTGTATGTTTTAATAATATTACATACATATTTGGGTAAATCTTATATTTTTAAGAGCATTTTTTATAAGGTTTTTAAAAAGGGGTATTTTTGAAAAGTGACATTGAAAAAGTGGCATTTTTGCAAAAGCCCCAAGATTATATATGCTAAATTTAAAGATATTAGCGTGTGGTTTTAAGTGTTGAATCAAGTTGATGAGAGCGATTAATATCAAATTCAATATAGTTTAAATTAATGAATTACCAGATTAGATGATCATGCTTTAGAAAAGCGTGCTCAAATGCTGCTATTAAACTAAAAACTGATCGAGCTTGAAAAATTTTATGAGAGGATAAAAGACTACTTCAAAGACAAGTGTTCTAACTTCTAACTTCTAAGGACGGAGAGAATACTGATTAAGGCCACCATTATGCTTAATCGAAATAAGGCCCAACGAGGCCTTATGGGCTTTACTGATGCAATATTAATTTAAATTTGTCTAGTTTGGTAGCAATATTAAATGATAGGAAGTTTTGACTTTGACCCCCGAAAAATTAGAGAGTGATAGGAAGTTGGGCTAAACCTAGAACTAACTAATCAAATGTGATTATTTGGACTCTTATCGCCTAAGAATTGATTATCAATTTATCATCACCCAATCTTTCTGTTTCCATCAATCTCTCATGCCTCTAGTTTCTATCGGCTTGGTTTTTCTTTTTTGAGTTTCTCAATTTTGGCTAAATTATCTATCTTTCCCACATCGAATTATGCATATTGTGACGAGGTCTTGAATTGCATGTATAGTATACATCTTTTGTCTAACAATTTCATACATACTATCGAAGAAAATAAAAATGTAATATGTTTTTGGTATAAGTCTTCATGTTAGTGTTCTTGGTCCTTTTTTAAGACACTTGATCCATCAAAACCATCATTAGTAGTCAAACTCTTACTTGCGCTCTACCTCATTGTATTCATCAAACTCTCTAGCTATGTAAGCTTCACCATCAAATTTTAAATACTACTTAATCATAATCAGCCTTCCAAACCACACACACTTAATACCTTTGATATAAGTCAGACGTACCTCGTGGTATATCACGAGGAAAATGAACACGACGTGTGATGGAGACGTCTAGTAGAGGCGGTCTCAGTGACGACAAAATTGACAACGACGGTGAAGCCATTTATGCTTTATGTTTCCGGGACCTTTTTCAATAATACTTCTTAAAAATAAAACGATTAAATAAATATAGTTTGGATATAATCTTTTGCTTAACAATATTTATTGTTTTTCATTATCCATACTTTTGTAATTATAGTTTATGGGATTGTTCATTTTTGTGAACGAAAGTTACGTAACATACAAGTCATTTGTTGAAATTAGACCTAAGAGAAAACGACACGAGCATCGAGTCATACATAATCTTGCCCTAAAATTAGGACAATGGAATTGGGAAAGACAACGACATTGTCTTCTATTTATTGGACACTAAGTTAATGTTG